AGTGTCAGGCTAGTTCCATAGTATTGATATCTCTCTCATCCGCCGCGTGCGTTTCGTTAGAAAGAGATCGTCTATCTCGCTCAGACCTCCACAGCTCACGTGTTTTTGAGCGTGAAACTGTAGTGACGTGTATAATTGATTTACATAAACTTAGTCTACTTATACAACGAAACGCTGGCAAATTAACTCCATGTTTTTTAGTATTAACGAAAGGCATAGAAATAGTTTGTAGAGGTTTTTTATATGTGGTTGTAAGATAAATTATTAAACGGTCAGCAGGTTTATCAGTAGATCTTGTTATTGAACTTTCTACTGCTAATTTTCTAATTATATTTTATTAAATTGTAAATAAACACACGATTTCTACAGTATTTACGTATACTAACTAGAGTTAAAAAATCGATAAACTGTAGATACGCTAGATACAAATCAATTTTTAGAATATGATACTTAGCCTGATCTGTAATGACATGATTTTAATTTTGTTTCAACAGTACTATGGTGATGATTGAATTACAATGGTAAAATACTTTTATAAAAGAATATAAATAACTATAATATAATATTTTAATATACTCATATATAGGTATAATAACAGGCCTATTCATTCAGGTACCAGATCAGAAAAGCTTTAATTCAAATTATGTGTATATATGCTAAATATTATTTACAAATTTAAATGGAGTCAATTTTGGGGTTCATAATAAAATTAAAGAAGATACCTATTAAATAACAAACACACAAAAAAATTTTTAATTAAATTCCTCTTACTTGTTAAAGTATTTTTGAGCGTTTAAAAAATTTAAAGTTTTTAACGCTGACGAAACTTTGGTCTTATGTATAATAATGTCACTCTTTACATAAAACGTCTGTACCCTCTGCAGAAAACGTCAATGATTATTGAGGAGCACTTCACATGTGCAAACCCCAAAATCGTTAAGCAACCGTGGGCGTGGGGTCTAGTGGTTAGTGACCCTGTCAACCCGAGATCGTGGGTTCGATACCCGCCAAACACAAATTTTATGTGATGTAAACGATCACGAACGATCTAGCTGTATTTATTTACAATATGTGTGTGTTTAGAAAAGAAGAAATTTACATGTTATCTATACTCGTATATTTTATCTCCTGAAATGATATGATATTGATAGTGAATGAAACATGCGTATAATATTTGAAGAGTTAACTCGATTTCTCCATTTTCGCTCTGAAGTGGCCATTCTTCTGTTTACACATTTGATACATAATAGTCTATTTCTAATGACGTAGCTGCGTAGTGTAATTCATTTTAATGGTTTTTGAAGTGATAATTTTTCATTGGGAAGGTTAACCGCTTCGTTACGTAACGCGTTACGGCGCCAGTCTGTCTGGCTTTCCTTTCTCCACACATACGGTAGCGGAAGGCAGGCTCCTCGTCTCTCACTCTAACCACACCGCTAGCCGTATTTCGGACAGAATATTAAATAGTTCACTTGGATTAGTTTAAGTTAAACACTTTGTCAGGCGTTCCGAGACGCACACGTTTTTTTTTATATTTTAATGGGAGACTTAAAAAAAACAAGTAGTCGCAAAATGATGGGTAACATCTGACGTTTCACGTACGTCCCGTCTGACGGTTAATGTTTGCACCGCAAAGTGCTCATTGGTCAAATCAATTAACGCGCATTGCCTTAGCTTCCGGGAATACTTTTCCGTTTCTTTTCATGAAATCACTCCCACAGATTGTAGAAGGGGAATGATCAACGGATAATCGACTTTTTAAAAAATCCTTATTGCTCACCACTACAGTAGCAAACTCGACACAAGTTGACTCGAACTACTCGAAATCTGGATATAGATGGGACAAAATCACAGTGAACGGGAATTTACGTGATTAATCATTTTGATTTTTTGTACGTGGGTTAGGGATACTACTTATGTTATTGCCAAAAAGCTGTTACAGACGATGCATATAGATTGTTCGTGCGCCGTCAGCGTGTTTCGGCTACTCTCGGCTGTCGTCGAGAGCCGCCTGCTGGCAAGGGTATATTACAATTGTACTCTGTGTGTGCAAGGCAGCAGCGGGAGGCCGCGGGGCGCGGCGCGTAGGTGCCGACCGTCAGCTGTCCCCGAGGGCACTACTGAAATACCCAAGCATCGCACGTGCACCAATTTTTAAATTGTTTTAATAATATATGTGCAAATTTACAGTCCATTGCCTTTAAAATTTTATACCCGTAGTTCGGGGATTTAACATTGGTCTTCAAGCTATCTATTTCGTTCCCATTTGAGAAAATCAAGAAAAATAAAAAAAAAACCGTTGAATATATTCAAAAATGGGGTGTGTCGTTCTTCTAGCTAACGGGGACGTATTGGCAGTTAGAAGCTGCGGGCTTTGTTCTCGAAGTCACGTCAAGACACTGTGCTTCGATTTTCAATATCGATCAAGTACTGAGTCACCGCTTCGAGAAAAATTAAAATCAAGAGGATTCTGAAGCCTTTTCCCGATTGCAGTTCGAATAATCGAAGATATAATTGCCAAGTCTTTGCTTCGCGTAATCGGGGGATGAGGATTTTTGTAGTATCGTTTAAATATTTCTACCCCTTATTTCCTACCAACTTTTGCCTAAAGTTGGAAATTTATTTTAAATTTTTTTTCAACCTTTTTTTTTTTCCGTTTTTATTTGAGACATACAATAACCAAATCGTTGCATAAGGCTATATTTCGCTGTGCATTGCTTTCTAGTGTTTGTAGCTTATTAAATTAACACTCGCCATTTATTACGTTATTAAATAATACATCAACGGCCGCAGCGCAAGCGCTTGCACCTACGTATGTACCTATCCTACATAGCATAAACTTCACCGTCAGCTGTCGTCGAGCCTGTAAGTTCACGCGGTCAAGGTCACGCATCTATTCATTCAATTCTTTATTTGTTTACGAGTTTATAAACTGTTAATTGATTTTTCATTTAAATTTTTTTGAAATAGCAAATTTATAATTACTGATTAAAAAGCGAAGTAGAATGGAGGCCAAGCTTACAAATTTTACTAACCATATTAACATTTTACTTAGCTGTGAAGCTCTCTCCGATTTACAGAGCATTGAGTTGCAGGGGCGCCTTGATAAATTTGAAAGCTTTACGATATTTTCGGACGACTTACAGATCCAAATTGAAGTGCAATCCGAAAAACCAGACATAAGCGTATGAGGAGCGCACCAAGTTTGAGTTGCGTTGCGATGCAGTAGAGATTGCGAATAGCAGCGTATATACACAAAATCTGGTGCAACTGCAGGCTGATTTATTGGAGACTTTAGAACATAAACAACATATTTGTAGATTGTCCGTAGATGCCCACCCCTAACGCTTTTATTATTGAGCAAAGACCACTAAATAAACGGAGGGCTTGTCCTGTGTGCGGTGAGGATGATGTGTTGTATACGTGTGAAATATTTCTTAGCTTACCTGTAGAAAATGCGCAGTGCAAAGGCTAGGAATTTGAAAGTATGTTTGAATTGCTTACGCCCTGGCCATACAATAAAACGATGTAGATTAGCGGGCTGCAAATACTGTAAAGGGAATCATGATACTCTCTTACATGTAGATAACCTACTGATGTCGTTGACCCCCATGGCTAAGCAATGTTGCATTGAGCACTGACGTATCAAGAGGCAGCACTAATATCTGCCCACCCATCCCAAATGTAGCTATATCCAGTTATCTTTTTACACAAAATACTACCTCTTCGTGTATTTTACTGTTCAAAGCGCCGGTCAAGGTGAGGGATGGCCGGGGAAACAAGGTCAACGCCAGGATCCTGCTCGATAATGGTAGTACAGGACAACTTTATTATTTCAAACGCTATTGTAAGTCTTACGCGTCAGGAATTGCCTAGACAAAGCGCGAGCTCCACTGTTTACAGGCATAAATAGTCAGACCACATCAAGCACACTGTTTTGCAGTCTTCATATAATTTCAAATAGAGGCAATTATAGAACAAATATTAATTGTTTTGTGTTGCCTGTTATTGCTACCGTCTGTGCCTTAGAATGTACAGCTGACAGACCCTAAATACCATGTACAGTCAGTTATTGTCATTTTATGTGGGTGATTAAAGTGTTCTGGCACGTCTTTGATAAGGTCAGGTGGGGTAAGAGGGACGACGGGGAAAGAAGAAAAATACAAAAAAGTGTAAGGCCTAGCTTAATGTCAACCCTATCGATAATAAAAAGTATTCAGTGTATAGTTTCAATTTTAACACAGATATGGCGTTATGACTCGTTGAATTGATTTACAAAGAAAGAAAACTCTTGTTGAACAATATACACCACGCGTGATTACGTTGAGATAATTATTGTGTAATTTTTTAAAGCTATATCGTTATGTTAAAATGTTGTTTTTATCGGTAAGTAACTATTTCAATGTTTAATTCCAATATTTTGATTTGTATTTGTTTGAAACACGCATTTTGAAGACATTTTTCACGAGCTCAAAAACTATAACCGTAAATTTTACGGTTTATGTTTTGGAGCTCGTAAAAAATGTTAAGCTATGCAGGGAAAAATGATCATGTGTTCCTCTTGCCCGATTCTAGATGTAACAATTCTTTGTAACTGATTTCAAAAAGGAGGAGATTCTCAATTTACTCGTAACTGTGTGTTCTGTTATGCGATATCTCCGGCAATTGTAAATGGATTTCAAAACTTCTTATTTTATTACAGAGGGTATACAACAAGGTGGTGGTTCCATTTTAATTGAATGTAAAATAGTAATTTTCTAAGGGTGTGAAATTAGGTAAACAAAATTTTTCGTGTATAGAATTAAGGGACAGTTGTTATGGTTTTTAAACTTTTCCTTATTTATAGACATATTCTAAACAATTTTAGCATATTAAATATTCTAAAACCAATTTTTAGCATTAAAACCAAATCTAGAGTCGTAATAAGTCACTTATGTAGTAGAATCACACAATAGACAACTTTAACAAAACTCTTTATATTTTTACAGAAATAATGCAAAATGCCTCGGCTATATGTAAGTGTTACGGTATATCGCGAGCCACTAATATAAATCGCGATTATGCACCGTAAAGGCGCTTAAGGTTATTAGGCAAGGTTTTTTTCAAGTGCCGAAAAAGCGATTGCTTCCTACGAATCAGCTATTTTTGACCTGTCGAAAAAAGAGTGGAATAAGTGTTTTCCAGACTGGTTTAGGCGATGAAAATTTGTTTTAAAGCGTAAGGGAGATATATTGACAAAATAGAATATAATTTGTTTTACTTAATACATTGTTTACTTTTTTGCGTTGTCTCCAAAATTTATATACTCGTAGTAACCTACGTATTTATTTTCACTGAGTAGAGACTTAACAAAAAGGTTGACGTTTAGGCCAAGTCAACACATTTACTTTCTGAAATCACATAAAAATATTTAAAGTTTTATTAGTTTATCTAGAGTTATTTGCCAGGAAGGGTAAAATTGCATTTTCAATTTTAAATATGTTTGATAGGATCCATTAACTTTATATTACAGCAGGCTCAAGTTGACATGTTTCCTGTCGAGATTGCGTTGTTGCATTTAGGAAAACCATTGCCAAGAAAAACAGACTTATTGGGCAAGGGTCCCTTGGGGTCCCGGTTATAGGCCCCGGATAGGTTTTGGTAGAGGAAAGGAGGTAGACAAAATCTAAACCCCATGACACAAATTTTTAAAAACACCCTATTTACTTGGTGATAAAAATCACTTAAAAAACTTCTTTTCCCCCCGAAAAAAAATTGATCTATTGCATGGGCCCTAGCATTATTAGCAATGTACGTTAAATGTTTTTGGCCCCTCGTGGATATTTTTTTTCTAAATTTACAGTAAACAAATGTTCTAAATACAGATGTCAAGCCTGACTACCGATTATATTATGGGCCAATTACCTAGTTCGAGAACCGAGTTAGAATTCCCTTTTTTAGATCCAGTGTTGACTATGCCGGGCCAGAACTTGATAGCTGATCGTAAGTATGTAGGCTTACCAAGTCTTATGTGCATTTTTGTTTGCCTAACAGTTAAATTTGCACACATAGAGCTAAACAGAAATCCCACGATTTGTGATTTTGTTCATGTTTTAAATCTGGATAATTGCCACTCGCGCTCCCCATTATACTTGTAATCGCCAAAGGCAAAAGCCGACAAAAAAGCGAGCGATTCCGACTAGTGCCGAATGCGCACGAGGCCAGCCAAGTGAGTGAGCCCTTCTCACGTGTGCGCCGATCGCCTGCCACACTCGACGATAGTCGCGCGTTCAGTGCGGCAGAAGGACATTCACGGCGTTTCACTTATTCTCGTTTATCCCGTGACAAGTTTCTTGCTCTAAAATTGTTACGGCGTAAACTGATGGCAATATTTAGTGTGTTATGGTGATTCGTGAAGAATGTGGAACCTTTTTTTACTAAAACTTTAGTGGTTGATATCTCTATCTTACAAATAAACTGAACTATTGAATATACGTAATACGTATACCTTGAAAAGTTTTGCGTGGACATACCTATAAGTTTCATTAGAGTACTCTTTGGTAAGTTTCATTTACAAACTTAAATTTGATAATATTTAAATATTAGACATATTTAAATATCATCATTCATATTATAAAGTTTAGTAAAATTTATTTCATAATGTTATAATTCAAAGTGAAAATAAGATAACTAGTTATGGCACCAATGTTATATTTGTGGACAAACTAGAATGTAACTTTTTTTTCAAAGTTTCTCAAGACTTTTGTATAGGGAGAGAATGTAACAAAAATAAAAGGATAAATAATATATATATTTGAGGGAGGTGCAAGGGGGTGAGTTTTTAAGGGTAAAAAACAGTATATCTCGATTTCCGGCAAAACTACAAGACCTATGAAATAAGTCAAAAAGTAAAGGTGTAGGTAATAAAAAGATCTACAACTTTTGTATTTACACTTATTTCACATAACCTCAGAATTTATGTGAAAAATTCAAATAACCAAGTTTTTGGTTTTTTTATTTTTATCCTTTACAATTTTTTATTTCACAAATTTGGTGAAAACTACCTTTTACTATTGCAATTTTTTTGTTCATTAATGTAACATGGAACCTAACGTTTTTCGAGTAATTAAAGTGTAAATTGTAATAAACAGCTCAAAATTGTACATAATGAATGAAAAATATATTTTCGGACTCGAGTTTTTTTCGTTTCGTTCGTAAATATTTTTCCTTTCATTTTTTGTTTTATTCTCTTCTTTTTCCAATGGGTTTCATCCTACTATTTTTTTTTTCACTTTTTACCATTTTCATAGGCTGCAGACCTGGTCTATAAACTTACGTGGTAGAAAACAAGGTCTAGGTGGATTTAACCATCTTGATGGTTATGAAAATCTTTAGCTATGCAAAAGTCTATTGATCTATATAAACATCTATTAAATTGTTTGTACTGAGTTTGCTCTGCGAAAGATTACAATGCGATTTTCTTTTTTTTTTGCGTACATAAAGATAAAATATTATTATTTATTAGTATTAGTTACTTCAGTTCAGTTGATTCCAAGTACATGGAATCTTTGTAGGTATATATGTATATACTTGATTAGGTGTAACTACGTTAATTAAGAAAAAGGTCAGGACTGAAATTCTAATAAATATTGTATTGGTATAAAATATTTCGGGCATCTAAAAAAAACGCCAAAGCTTGTACCTAATATTACAGTTAGATTGATTGATAGAATACTTCTATAGTTCTTTTTTGTAAATACATACACATTAAACATAGAAAACACCCAAACTCAAACGTATATTTTCATATATATCAGATCATAGGTACAAACATTTGGTCCAGCCTGAGACCTCAGCACAGCAGACATATACATTTTGGAAGTAACTACTAAGGCTAGATTATTTACCAGATAATTCACAAAACTAAGTCATAAACAGGATAGAAACTTTAAATACCTATTGCATTCTTATTAACCCATGCAACTCTAATTTCTAGAAGACACTAATAGGGTATCCTTTTATGACATGTATTTTTTAAGCTTTCTTTAATTGACAGTCAAAATCTCGAAATCTGACAATCAAGATAGCAAACCATTTTGTCAAAATTTTACTAAAACAATTTATATTCTGACAGTTCTTTTAATTAATTTATTTATTTTATTCTAATTCTTCTGTGTCTATGGCGTACCACTCATGCCTCTTATTATTTTATGAAAGATTCACAATAGATATAATGCTATGCTATGGTTATTTCTTTATTAATTTTACTGCTTACATTCAACACAAAGCCATGCCTGAAGTAATTATGTCTAACCTTTTGTTTGAAGTAAGCAAATTAAACTTTTTGTTGCCAATTTATTAATGTTATAATTTTGCAAACTTAAAAGTACAGGGGAATATCTAATACCTGGTTCCCCGGCTATTGGTACCCGAGACGGCGTGCGGTTTTAGTCGGTTCGAGTCCGACATTGCCACCGATAGGTGGTATCCGCGGGAATTCCGCACGAAAAAAAAAACAAAAAAAAGGGAATATCTGATAAAACATCCAAATACTAAACCCTTGTTTAGCTTGGGTGTTTTTTTAAATGTAAAGTTATGTACTTATGGTACAGAATTGTTGCTGTACCATGGAGACATCATTGATATGCACATCATTTATAATTATTATTAGTGAAGCATTTCTATTCCTTTACACTTTCGTACACACTGTACACTTTCGCAGTACTAGGAACATAAGTTAAAGACCACAAAGTAGGTACATCATTTGCAAATGGTATGATTCAATGGTACAATAACAGACTATTGTACATGGCAACAATATGAAGTCTTATCAGTATTTACAACGAATACTTAGTTCAAATAAGATTTCTTTTCTAAAGACTTCATTGATATTCCCCTGCACTTAACCTAATTTGCTGCTTTGGCTGGCCTGCCACTGCTCACATTTCACTTGCTCTCACATTTTATTGATTTTAAAACAATATCACTCTCATTCATTTAAAACTCAAATATAAATTCTAAAATAGTCACTGAATTTCTTGCAGATCTAAATGAAATTTTTTGATTAATTTATTAATATTTTATCTTTACACTAGCGATCAGCCCGGGGGTCGCACGGGTGCAATGTGGTGTCAGCGTGGAGAAATTAATTATACCATTATTATGATAAGACTATAACTACACGACATCTTTATATGCAATATTTATGGGCCCGCTCCGATCCTACCGGCCGCTGCCACCCGCGATGGACGTACGGCCCGAAGCAACGACGGCGAGGGGCGCTTTGCTCCCGCATTTTAAAAACCAGATTTTTAAACAAATCTTTGCAACGTTGATTTGTAATGTGAAGTTGGAAGTTTAATGAATGTGGAAATGATAACCATTTTAACATTGACAATTACAAAAAAAGGGTAATTAACTAAGCTATTTTGAACATTACAGTATTATTCCTTATCCAAATAAATACTTTAGATACGTTGTGCATTTAATGTAGATCAAAATTGCTGTTTATAGCATATCATTAAAATGAATATTTTAGTAGATATCAGGGACTTAAAATGCAGGGGCAAAACAGTCGTCGCAGCGTCGTGCCTTACGTCCGTCCCAGCTAGCAGAAATGGAGCGGACCTATAAGTATTGCATATTAAGATGTCTTGTAGTGTAGTCTTAGTATAATAATAGTATAATTAATTACTCCCTTAGGACATAATTGGTATCTACATTACACCCCTCATATTATAAGTACAACAGGCTTCAAGGATGTTTTATTTTTTGTTTTTTTAAATTATTTGTTTACCTGTTTTTTATCCCTAATAAATAAACTAAAGCTTGACAAAACTAGGTGTTGCTCTTGAACACTAAAGTTAATTAGAAATTATTTCATATTTTCTTCAGTATCATGAAGTTGATTGCTTTAGTTACTATTTTTTGATTTTAAGACAACACAATAATCAAGAAGCACTTTCTTTAGAAGATGATTTTCTAAGCCTGTTAATTTAATAATAAAAACGGAAACTGGATATTTGTCTAACCAATGTAATTCTCATCAATTTAATAAGGCGACTGTTTATTAGTTCATCAGCTACGGCGAATTTAGTAAGATCCTACTGCAGTGCATTAATTTCAGATTTGACTATATGTTATATACATACTATAGAAACTATAGTAATTGCAACTTGTATACAAAGGGGTATAAGAAAATACTCTTCCCACAGAATTGAAAAAATATACTAGAATGCGAAAAAGGTTTCACTTTCCAACCAGGAAACCAGGAAATTCGCTTTGAAATTCCATCCACATTAGCGTCTATAGTTGGGTTATAAAAATAATGTGCACAATTTCTGATAAATTTTAGAAAAACAATCTTTGAGATCCACACATCCGACGGGTGAAAGTCGTGATTTTTAGCTTGTTCCTACTTACTATTATATTATTGTATTGTTAATATTATTATTAGCTAAAATGTTATTTAAATTATTACATGTTCATTTGTTTTTCATTTTATGCTATTACTTAGTTGGTTTAGGGACATTCTAATTAATTTGTAACAAACAAATAAAGTACTAAAATGTTTTTTTGTAGCATACAAATTGTGTTCAAGATGGATACCCTCGATGACTCCGAGAACACGGCAAAGATATCCGATTCAGCTTACTCAAATAGCTGCAGTAACAGCCAATCTAGAAGAAGGTAAGTTACCTTTGTAAGACTTAACCTCGTGTACATAGATTGTGCCGTTAAATAAACTTTACAGTGTAAAACCTGCGAGAGGTTTTACACATACGTACCTTTATTTACATATTTACACGTGCCTTTATATGTGATAATTATCTTAATAGAGCTATTTTCTTACTGATACTCTCGCGAACTCGCTAGGCCTCAGGGTGTTGCCATCACACCCTGATTTCCTAGCAAGTTCCTTCAAATTTCAATTAACTACAGCTACTATTGTATTGTGAAATAAATTAAGCAGTATTATTACCTAAAAACCAAATAACATCGAGTGATTCTTTTTCATCTGAATTGATTTAATCAAATATGAATATTGCTCAGGTGATCGATTACGTAATCCTGAACAACTTAGCAGGTTGCTTTACACGTGACCGACTTGACATACCTATATTTCAATACACCTCGCGTGTGTGCCGATTTCAAAGGCGGTGTGTTATCTCGGTTAAGTAAATTAAATTATAAGTCCATCATCACATCAACAGCCTTTACCTAATAGTCCACTGCTGGACGTAGGCCTCTCCTTAAAAGGAGGTTTTGGCCTCCTCTACCAGGCTGGCCAAACGGCTAGGTATAGGGTTTGTGTCAAGTTTTTTTTCACTTTGCTGTGCTGTTGTCCTGCGTAGTTTGCTCCCTGGGTTGGCTCTTACGACCCCCACGGATTGAATAGGGATGGTGACTCCGTGTTCTTAATCCGTTACCACACAGCTTTACTATATAACATATATGTTTAAAATAAAAACTGATATACTGATTCACTGAATGATCGATAAACGCACAGTTGCAAATGGCTGCACGGTTAGCAATATACTTATAATATAGTTATATTACCAACAATTATTATTATTGCAATACAATTAGGTACACGTTCAGGCATTTACGCGATGATGTTTCTACCAGATTGTACTGGTCGGGGTCTAAACTTGTAAGCGCATGACCGCTGCCAGTGTAATACTACCAATATACATTATAACCATAATTTTTAAAAGGAGGGTGGCGATCTAAGAAATTTCGTGATCTGAAGAAATTAATATGCACTTGGAGAACATTAACATTATTATCGGTAGTAAGTATTTACTACGTCTAAAAATGTACACATTTCTTCAAAATACAGGCAGTCAGTTGCGCTAGAAACAGCTTATTAATGTATTGGTTTTAAGGTTAACCAACACAATTTACTTTAAAAAAAGTATCACCGAATTCAATGCGTCTACATTTTGACAAATATTAATGACCGTTATTCCTCATACCTTAATTTTCCACCCTAAAGGCAGGTATTTTTTACTTTAAATGTGAATGGGATAGTCCCATAGGTAGTATACCCTTTCAAATAAAAATAAGAGAGACAATAGAAATAATTTTCCAAATTGGTACATGAGTTCGGAGTTCTGAGGAGTTTTCAACATAAAAAACTAACTTTTTTTTAAAGTTTGGCGTTTAGCGTCAATGTTCGCAAGAAGGACTGCCTCGTATTGCTCTCTAGCCGGATGGATGGCCTTTTGCCACTCAGTGCTTCTTTCAGTGGGTACTTCCCAGTCTTCAAATGTAATGTCGCATGCTGTTGGTGGCTTTTATTGGTAGCTTAGCAACATTCCCCTTAGCAATACCAGAAGAGATTTTGGTTATTAGGCGGTTGTTGTCACGAATGGTACTCCCGATGTCCTGGAATGATAAGACTTCCTCTAAGCAGCTTCCTCGAGCTGATTCTTTCATTACTTGTACTTCTACTAGTCCAAATTTATGGCAAGACTCAAGCAATTTTTTTGACGACTGCACGAATGGCGTAGTGGTTTAAGCGTTCCTACTTCGTTAAGTTGTGGTGTCCCATGTAGGACACCACAACCAAAAAAACAAAAGAAGAGAAACAGTGGCACTCCGGGAGTGCCGACAGAAGTGAAAACTTCAAAATTAACACCAGGATTTATTTTTATTTTTTCCGATTCGAAAAGAACCGATGCCCACTAGTTCCATGTATGGGCATCGGTTGCAAAAGTTCCATGTTGAACAGACTTCTTGAAACTACTAAGAGTAAATCGAATATTTAGCATGTTGTACGTATATACACAATATATGTTTATATTAAACTAGCTGACCCGCGCAACTTCGTCTGCGTCTCTCAATAGTAATAAATTTTCTCCGTTTTTTGAAACATTCTTCATTGCCTTCCTCGATAAATGGGCTATCTAACACTGAAAGATTTTTTTAAATCGGACCAGTAGTTCCTGAGATTAGCGCGTTCAAACAAACAAACAAACAAATTCATCAGCTTTATAATATTAGTATAGATAAAGTTATATTATCAATGTATTTCAACCCAAACTCAACTCTCGTGTAAATGAGGTCAATATATGTAGATACTTATGTACAGAGGTATCAGTAACGGTAATAGTGTCGCGAGTTCGATGGTTTTTTTCCCTTCTCAAAAAATACATTCTTATGTGTGTTGATCAAAAATGCCCAACGCGCCTAAAGAAGTTATTCACTTAAAAATACGCGAATAAGTGGTTTCATGAAAACTGAGTTTCCGCTTTAATCATTCATCATCATTTCAACCAAAAGACATAGACATTAGCCTCCTCCAAGGCCACAACAACCGATCCTGTACTGCCCGCATCCAACTGCTTCTCTAGACCTCCCCCAGATCTTCGACCACTTTATGGTCTTCCGTTTTCAGTTTCCGCCTTAACATCTCTCATTTAATAAAAATGACCATAGATTTCCATTTTTTAGCTATTTTGATGATGAATCCTAACTGGCTACAGGCTAGGCTGGCTGGCCTGTCTGGCAGTGAAACTGCAGACTTTTACGATTTAAATCTCATTATTATGAATTTCACACATTTTCACTTGTAACAAATTCAAGGAGTACATTTTGTAGAGTACATACAATTAAGATTGCCGAATTTTACGATCTGGGAATGATTGGCTTGTATTTTATTTAGTTGGGTGTCGTTCGAAATTGATTATGCGTCGTCGGGTGACGTGTTAACCCTCACCCCACAATATTTGAATTGAATCGTATAGTGGGGTCATTGCCTGTTTGCCTCAATTGTTCGAAGTTAAGTGCATCGGATAGGTCCTAGAAATATGTGGTAGCGTTGAGGAGTCACTCCGTCTTCATCGTTGTCTATCAGGGAAATCTAGTAGTACATCAAAGTATTTACATTATACTCGTATTATAATGGCAATAAATTAAAAACCTATAATTGATCAGTTACATTATAACATTGAGCCGTTTATTCCTGGGCTCTGTAAGTTAACACGAGTTTAAAAATTTGTTCTTAAGTCGGACTTAAGACTATCGGTTAAGCGTCATTAAATAAAAACTTATTAAATAAAAACTTATTCCACGCAACATAAACATGTTGCGTGGAATAACTTTTGATTTGTTAATAACACGAGTACATGTTATTTGCACGTTTATCCAGGTAAAATGACAACTTTTTCTTAACTTTTCTTTGTCCCAATATTAAATCAAAGTTTTCAAGGTCAACACGCGCTAAACTTGCATTAAGCGCTTGGGAACACTGAAAAATACCAGTAATTTATCGGGTCTTAACCAATTTCGTCGTAACCGCTTGCGTGGAGCGGAATTGATTGGCGAGTGGTATGATCGCTGGGATTAACCTGGAGAGTAGTGTCGCGACGTACACAATCGAACTTAGGGAAGGTATACCATAAAAACACTTTCACATCAATACAGATGGCATTGCCAAATTAATTCAAAATTTAACAAAACCGCACCAGTGATATATGCACTGTTTCTTTATCTTTTTTTATGCTAGAGGGGGCAGACGAGCAGACGGGACACCTGATGGAAAGTGCGACTATGAATGTCTGAAACTCCGGAGCCACAAACGCGTTGCCGGCCTTTTAGGAAGGAGTACCCTCTGTTCTTGAAGGTTTGAAGGTCATATCGGTCCGGAAACACCGCAGATGATAACACGTTCCATACATTGGTTTTACGAGGCAATAAATTGTTTCGAAAAGCGCACAGTAGTGGAGCGCCAACTATCCATTAGATGGGGATGAAAATGTTGCCGTGTGGAACGATGGCGGAAAGTTGGGGCCGGTATTAGCCCGAACAATTCTTCGGAGCACTCTCCGTGATATATGCGATAGAGAATGCATAGTGAAGCCACATCTCTATGTAACGCCGAAAGAATGGAGCCGATCGGATGTGTGGGATATCGACGATTCGAGTCGCTCGTCGTTGAATGCAGTCGAGAGGGAGAAGCTGGTTCTGAGGTTCCCCTGCATAGTGATGAGAACAGTATTCCGTATGTGGCCGGACTTGCGCTTTACAGAACTAAGCTAAGAGCCTTATAGGCCGGAGTCAAACACTGCCTCAATCTGTTCAACACACCGAGCTTCTTCGAGGCCAATTTGATCTTACGCTCTAAGTGACCCCGAAACTGGACTTCGGTTCATATGTCAATGCCTGGGATTCCGATACTGGCTGAGGCAGTCAGGGAGGTGCTCTCAAACCGAGGTGATATAACAAATGGGATCGTCGCGGTGAACGCACAGACCTGTGTCTTTTTTGGGTTGAAGTAGAATAGATTTAGTCGGGCCCAATCTGTAACCTCCACGAAGGAAGTTCCAATTTCAGACACAAGTTTGATTCGATTCTCGATGACGTTTTTTTCGAGAAATATTAGGTCGGCCGTTGTAAAGGGCATCTCCTGTACTATCAACTGCATAGCAATGGATGCTACTAGTTTGCAACATGTCATTGATATGCAGAAGAAACAGTGTGGATGATATCTGCGTCTCGGTTAAAAAGAGCAAGACCGGCTTCACCGTCTCTAGGTGGTGGTGGAAAGCGTTGAGGTTGTAGTGAAGGCCTCTTATATTGCAGAAATTCATGTCAAGCGTGGCGAGGGGTGGCCTGATGTGCCTGCTCCCGGTACCCCCTTGGGGTAGAATATTTTTCAACGACGCTATCATGAGGCGTATAGGGGCCGGTATAGGGGCCTAGGGGGGTAGGGTTCCAAGAACCTCACTTACGGCATGTATCTGAATTACGGTAACTGTGTTGGCTCTATATTTTATAATTCCGAAAAGAGATTAGAAATATGATTAAAACATCATTACGTCTTCACTTTTCCGAAAAAATATTTGACATGTGTTTGGTATTTACAGCCACAGTACAAAGTCAACGAAATCGGGCAGTAACTCCAGTGGAAGCAGTGGATATAGTGGCAAACCATCCACATCAAGTAGCAGGTATGTTGTATGTTTTTATTTACATAAGGCTAGAGACACATTTTTAGCTGATTAACAGCTGATTTCATTCAAAAATATCGTAAAATACTTCGAGAAATGTATTGATTTTAGGATCACTTACATAGATAATTAGCTTGGATAATGTAGAGTGTTTCACTAATATAGACAATGTAATATATCGCACTAAAATGATTATAACAATTAAAGTAACGCAAACAAAGGAAATGGTGGCCCTACAGCAATAAGCAGTACCTTTCAGATAACTATTGAATGGGCAGGAATGTAATAAATGATGTTGGTTTTGGTATTAAAAGGTCAGAGGTTATGGAGTAATCGAACTATTTGTTACTGATTTAACCCCAAAATAGGCACCTAGAGTATAGTAATTTAATTTATTCTTTCATTCATTCTCAGTACTAGAGAACCTCTAGTTAGGTACCTTTTAGTTCATATCACCAATTTCCACCATACTTGTTAGTAAAAATAACAAGCAAGTCAACCTTGCCATTCCTAACAATTCGTTATGTTTGTAATCGACGATACACACGATATGTTAAATATTTATAAAAATAACATATCAACAGTTTTTGGAACTCTAAAGGAATGTTATTTGAGTACTAAAACATGTTTCCCAATTCCCAAGCAATTGTATTGAAGTTTTAGATGATTGCATTTGGAAACATATTAGTATGTAAAACAACTAATGCGAGTGTCAGACCGGCCATTGGCGTGGTGACGCGTCGCTACGCTGTGATAGTATACGTAATGCGACGCGTCGCCACACCGCATTACATGTTAGATATATAAGTTATCCTTTTAAATTCATTCCTAAAAAATAATCTCTAATACTTATAACGAGAATACATAAATCTTCTAAAATGTACCTACGACTTTTCACTACTTGGCAATAAAATGTTGTTCTTTTCAACAGCAACAACTTGGGCAAGGAGAAAGAGGCGAAGAAAAAGAAGCAACCGCAAGTAGAGACAGTAGTTCTTGATGTAACAGTAGAAACAGAAATGAGGCCTACTGAGCTCGCATCCGACTTCGATGCATCCAAAGAAGAAATATCTGGAAACATAGGTGGGTACCGATTTGATTGTAAACGCTTTGTATTCAATTATTTTTTTCTTAGACTGTATTCAAACTCAAACTCAAACTCAAACTCAAACTTTCTTTATTTCATAAAATTTTCAAAATTGTTTGAAATCGTCTTCCATGTAGACCCCAAAGTCATAGATCAACACACACAAAAGCAACAATCTCTGTTTTGTCAAATAGTAACCAAATAAATTTAACAAAATCAAACCCATACAAAATCTATGAGATGCCTGTGCCGATCTACAAACCGCCCGTTTCCAAGGGGTTGAGCCTTATGAGAAGAAAGGGCAAACAAACTCATGGCCACTCTTTTGCAATTCACAAGTAGATACAATGGCACTATTAAATATATCACAACATTGTTTTGATGTGTGCTAGTATGTCCGTTATTAAGGACTTAAAGGTGAAAAAACAACGAAGAGAAAACAAGATTAAGAAGAACAAACGAATACAAGAGAAATGAAGTGAAACATAAAAAATAGAAAAAATAATAAAAAACATACTATATACACATACATATACATATATTCATCTTATGTTCTTATCTGATTCGACTAGCTCAGCAATTATAACTATTTCTTTTCACTAATCTCAACTCTAGTCTTTATTTGTTACACTTTCAAAGACTTTTACACACCAATACTACAATGTTAATGTAATGCCGCAAATTCAGTTTCTAATGCTTATACATTAATATATGAACACAGATATATATATCTTAGATATTCTTGAATCTTAATTCTAATTCTAAATCGATGTTCAATATAATTAACTATATTCCAGTTTTATGATATAGTTTGGAATAAGAATAAAGCTTATCACACACTACTCAAATACGATAACATTTTATCTGCGTATAAAAAATTAACTATGTGAGAGTATATTATTACTTATACACTATATAATATACGACACGACGATATAATAAATGATACAGTCAATGGCAATCGTACAAACAGACTAGCTAGACTTATTTTTGATGCGGATTGTTTATAAAGTGTTATACTCGTAATGAGTTCGCGTTTATTGCATCTGGATTTAATAGACAGCTCGTCGGAAGAGGATTCTTATTTGATATTTAATACACGTGTTGCGTTAGAATGTACTAAAAGGCTAAGGAAGAATTTGGATAGAACATCATATAAAGATTTAAAAAGGATCAAGGCGGATTTAATCTCTTCAAGGACCTCCCTTTCCAGACAATTAATGTGTGATGAGGACGGTCATTTGTTTTGTGTCTGGGTGTGATTTATCTATAATATGTATGTTTTTAGAAATATAGTGCCTAGTTAGGGTTGAGACGGCTGTGTGTGAGAAGGGTCGCTTCACTTTGGTAGGCGTTGCTTCGTTTTGAAACAGCTTCGTTTTGTCGACTGACGCTTTGTTTCTGGATCGTATTGATAAACACGGGATTATTCATCTGTCATAATATCGTAAACGCGCCGACACGAGTACGCTTCAAATTTATCCGGATACCACACACCATTGGGGCTTTAATTTTTTTATTAAGGTTTTTAACACAATGCAAATGAAACCTTAATTTTAATTCAGCGACAACGATGTTAAAACTGCATTTTAAACCCCTATTATGAATTTGCCCCTATTATGAAAATGTCCTTATTACTGTATGCTTGTATACTTATAGTACTTCCCTAAAAATATATATAAATAGTAACCTATGATACCGCAAAAGTCTACTAACACCTCAAAAAACACATATATACTCAAATTAGTGCCATTTTAACGCACGGTGAACTAGATCTTGTCTAGAATTGTGAAGGTATCTTCACAATTCATGCCGTGAAATACGCCTAATAAATAAAATACGAGAGTAAAACTTTTAGGGGAACTAAAGATTCAATCTAAGTGCCACGTCAATCTGCACTTCGATTGATACTGTTTGATTCCTTTGACTCATAGGAACTGCGGCAGCGCCGTTAATGCTTTACGTAGGATTGCAGCTCTGCATACCTCGCGAGCGAAACCTGTAAGTAGCGTGGATTCGTACCAGTATTGCGAGGAACTGTCACGTCCTCATACACTTAAAGTAATATTCAATGGACGAATAGTAGCTTTATTTTGTTAAATAATCAGATAGTATTATAAAAAAAACAGTTACATTAGTACTACGCGTCTGGATTAGTTACTCTGCGAAACACATACGAGATTTATTGTAGAGTAATGTACAAATTGGGTCGTATTGGTCTCAGGACTGAATAGTATGTATAACGTATGTTTCTTTTATTATTGATTGTCTATCGATACGTCCATATGGTAGTGTTGTTTTCTTTTCAGATAGTTCTTAGCAAATTTTACGTATGTTCATCTTCAGTCTGTTATTTTGTTATGCAGTTGATCCCGCTTCATCGCCGGCGCATCCGCAGTCTGACAAGCGTGTCGAAAGCATGGACATATGCATGTCGGAAAGGAGCAGCATAAAAGGACGAGGTAATCCTTAACATCTTATACTAGCTTAAGCTGTAAATTTTAACTTATCTAGCTCATACAGTTTTTTATTTATTCAGTCATGAAAAAAATGCTTTCACCTGCCGACCGCTAATTTATGTATGTTAAGACGCTAAGAATGTATAAACTGTAACTTACAAAATTGCCGTTTTGTATGCAATAAGTGAAAGTACTTATTTTTTCAAACTTTTTTGTTTCTGTTATTCGAAGTAATCACCCATGCAATCGACGCATCTTTGCCGACGCATTGGCAGTTTATTGATGGTTTTCTTGTAAAAATCAGCTGGACGGGAGGCAACAAACCTGCCTCTCGGGGATTGAATTTTTTACCCACTAAAAAGTTGTCTAAATTTTGGAAAAAGTAATAGTCGGTAGGTGCACGGTCTTGTGAGTATGGCGGATGAGGGAGAGCTTCCAACCCCAGCTCTTGCAGCTTGGAGACTGTCTGTTGCGCAGTATGGGGTCGCGCGTTGTCGTGAAGGAGCAGTGGGGACGACCGATTGACCAAAGCTGGTTGCAGATGTGCAAGCTTCTCCATCATTCTCTCCAGTTCAATTCAATTCAATTCAATTCAATTCAATTCAATTTATTTGCGATAATATGGGTTATACAAAAAGAAAAAAACAGGTGGAAAAGATACAGCTAGTTTCACCATATTAAGCCGAATGTCACAGCATGCAAAAATTAACAATAATTATTGATTATAACAAAATAATATCCAATACTGTCATTTTCTAAATAATAATACAGTTCTTAAGTTAAATAATACATAATAAACAAATAATAATAAATACAAACTATAATATGTCAAATTAATACGTCAAAATTTCTGTACTGATGTATGTCAAAGGAAGATGTAAGTAGTGCATTATTTACATCATTCTACATATTATCTTCCATGTATTCTTTTACCGAATAATAAGTTTTACCAACTAGAATAGCATGTAACTTTTTCTTAAATAAAATTAAGTTCTTTTCATTTTTCAAATCTGATGGTATCTTATTATATATTTTTGGGCCCATGCAGAATATACTTTTATGAAGTAGTGCAGTTTTAGATGGTCTAATGCATAATTTGTTAATATGACGTTGCCTTGTACGGTGTTCAAATAAATGTAAATTACACTTAATAAATATAGCTGTTTCGTATACATATAAACAAGGTAAAGTTAGAATATTTAGCTTTCTAAATAAAGGTTTACATGAATCTGTTTGCTTAAGACAGGAAATAGCTCTAATACACCGTTTTTGTGCTCTGAACACACAGTCCGCATTGGTGGAGTTACCCCACAGTATAACACCGTAGCGAAGAGTAGACGATACATATCCGTGGTACGATGTTAAGGCAGTATAAATGTCGACAACTTTAATGAGGTTTCTTAAGCAAACGAATAACTATTTAATTTTTTACATACATGCTCTGTATGCTGCTTCCACGACATTTTATTGTCTAAGTAAATTCCTAGAAATTTCGTGCTCTGTACCTCTTCTATTACTTGCTCTTTATATTTGATATTTATTTTTTGTGGTGATTGCCTATTCCTAAAATGTATAGATTTGGTTTTATCGAGATTGATTATTAAATTATTACTCATTAGCCAGTTAATTGTATTTTCTAATGTCTGATTAATATTGTCAAGAATGTCATTTATTTTGTATTTTTCAAAAGTATAGTACTGTCATCGGCGAAAAGAGTCATAGAGTTAGTCGTAACTGTTGGAATGTCATTAATGTAAACTAAAAATAACAATGGTCCCAAAACACTGCCCTGAGGTACACCACATATGATATGTCGCAGACTAGATGAATAAGTCGTCAAAGTTTTTGTTTTATTGCATATCTTGCTTATGTCAGTCCTTTGTTGTCTATCCGTTAAATATGATTTAATTAATTCGAGAGCACTGCCTCGCACACCATAACGATGTAATTTCTCTAACAGTATGTCAAATTTTACATGATCGAATGCTTTGGTCATATCCATAAAGAGAGCAATAGTAGGGCATCTCTTATCCATGTTCGTTAAAACTTTATTACAAAAATTATATAATGCCATATTTATTGATTTATTTTTCCTGAATCCCATTTGCTCTTTCGCAAATAGTTCATGACTTTCAAAATAATTGTAAAGGCTATTGTAAATAACTTTTTCAAAAATTTTGGAAAATATGGAAAGTAATGCTATCGGTCTGTAGTTATTTAGATTGTCTTTGTCACCCTTTTTATATAGCGGTTTAATAATTGATAATTTAAGACATGTTGGAAATATACCCGTTTCTATTGAGAGGTTAATTATATGCGACAATAGGGGAGCGATTATATGACACACTCTTTTCACAATGTAGGTATCAACACCATCGAACCCCACACTACGTGTCATTTTGAGTGACGAAATTATTTTCAAAATGTCATCAGGCGTAGTAGGTAGCATAAATAAAGAGTTCCCATTATATGGTGGAAACTTACATTTGGGTGCTTGATGGTTCGTACCTGACCTGATTTGATCAACAAAAAAATTATTAAAGTGCCTTGCTATGTCTTTTGGGTCACATATTATTTTGCCTTTATACTTAATATTAGTTATATGATGTACTGGGTGACTATATTTATGTTCATTAATTATTCTCCATGTTGTTCTAGACTTATTATCTGAAGTTTTAATGGCATGTATATTCTGTGCTTTTTGAGTTAACTTTATTATACATTTTAGTCTTTTTGCATATCTTTGGTACAATATTTTATTAGCTAACGTCCGCCTCTTTCTATATTGCCACAAAAGAGCCCTTTTACGCTTACTGCATATTTTGATTCCCTTTGAAATCCATTTTGGCCGTATTTTGCAGAATAGTTTTATTTTCTTTGTCGGAAAACATAAATCATATATTAGTGTAAAATTATCATAAAATTTATTAAACGCAACATTAACATCGCTAATAGTGTATACCTCATTAAAATTAAGTTGCTTTAGATATTTAGTGAATATTACTATATTTTCCTCACAATAGTCTCGTTTAAACTCATACCACCAATCCGCACCGTAAACCCGATCCACTGGGCATTGTAATATCTGCGCTGTATGATCAGACATAGCTAATTCCATATTTTTGGCATTACATCCATCAATGTTATATATTATGTTATCAAGGCATGTTTTACTTGCTATTCTTGTAGGTTGTCGAATTGCTATATTCATATTGTTACTTGAACAAATTTCCTGAAGTTGAACTGATTCTGCGCTTCTTTGTAAAACGTTTATATTTAAATCACCGCATATTATTATTTTTTTTCTTTTCGAAATTATTATGATCTGGTTCAGGCATTCAAAAAATTTGACCAAGTTTGTTCGTTTAGGCACTCTGTACATACAAACAATAATAATTTTGTAATCAACAAGTTCAATCGCACAACATTCTATTGCATGACTTGTAGATAAATTCAGAATTTCAAGTAATTCTTTCCATCGATACTTGTTTTTAATTAGAATGCAGGCACCACCCCGCTTTTTATCATTGCGACAAAAACTGGTTGCCAGAGTGAAACCCGGTATTGAAAGATATCGCTCATGACCCTCCAATATAAAATGTTCCGTAATACATATTATGTCAATGTCTAAATTTTTATTCGACAGTTCATCTAAATGTAATGTAAGTGCATTTGATTTAGTGATTAAACCTGCAATATTTTGATGCATTATATTAATATATGTATCAACGAAAAAGTTCATTAGTACCTATGTCATGTGAAGAATTAATATCATCATTATTAAACATGTCACTATTGTTAAAATCATACTGTTTTATGTCACATATAAAATTAATAATGTCCTTAAATATAACATGCATGCCACAGTTGTTAAGTCTGCCTGTGTGCTTGTTAAACATTTTAAAGTCACAAGAAAGATTTTTATTTGAGTCAAGGAAATAAGCATGCTCATGAGCTAATATATCTAGATACAATAAATTATTAAAATTTTCTATTCTAGAGTTATACATCTTATGGTAATATCCAAATTTATAGGTTGGAGAACAAATTATAATATTGGTGTGCTTAATTCTTTTCAGAGTATTTCGAATATTAAAAACCAGGTTCAAGTAATTACGTGTTGTATTAAAATCTTCTTCCCCAACAAATAAAATACAAAAATCATTCATTGTGAAATCCCATAGTTTAGTCTCTATTCGATGTAGCATTTGCTCTGTGTTGTAGTGTTTCAATAAATAATGGCATAACGTATCACGAGTATCTCGAAATGTATTTTGTGCAATTGGTGTAATTTTATTATATTTATTACTACTTATAATGCAAATTTTACTTTTAGCAGTATCCTCTGTACATATTCGTATTTGAGATGGCTCACTATGTAAATTCTGTTTTAATTCTAGGTGTCTTGAGCTGTTACTTGTTTCTTGGCATGTTTCGGTTTGTGTTTTTTTATGTACCTTTTGTCTCTTTTTATTGGGTGTTGTAGATTTAACAGGACTACTAGTGATCGATTTGTACAGGTCATTTCTTCTAATTAATTCTTGACTTGCTTTCTTCAAATTTGTGTTTTCGAGAGACAAATTTTCAATTTCGTGGTGAGCACTACTTAACTCGCTTTTTAGTTTTTCAACTTGTTCTCTTAAAGTTATTATTAAATCCTGCTGCTGTTGTTTTGTTAGGTCGGGTAAACTAGTTAGGCTGGTATCATTAACTGTGTCTTCATCAAGGGTATCGTTAGAAGTATTTGTTCTTCACAGTACACATCTGCATTAATGCTCATGACGTTTTGTAAAAAGCTGTGGTGTATCACACCCGTACTAGACCACCAAACAGTGATCATCACCTTTTTAGGGGTCATTTTTGGTTTAGGACATTGCTTTGGTGCTTAACCAGGGTCTAACCAACTTGCTGAGCGCTTTTGACTGTCGAACATTTTTCGTCGCACGTAACAATTCGTTTCAAAATTCCTTCATTTCTTTACCTGTTGAGCAGCGCAAGGCAGGTCTCGACGAGTACGATGCGCTGGCGATCGTTAAGGTCGTGGGGCACCCATCTATCAAGCTTTTTAACCTTGCCAATTTGTCGCAAATGGATCAATATTGTTTTGATGCTTACATTAAAAGCTGCTGCTGGCTCAGCTGTAGATGGAGTTTCGTCAGCTTCCACAATCGCCTTTAATTCATTATTGTTAACCAAAGTCTCCGGACGACCACGAGCTTCATTTTTTTAAGTCAAAATTTCCAGAACGGACCCGGGAAAACCAATAACGGGTTGTGCGTTCGTTTGTACAGTTCTCTCCGCAAACGTTTTTGATGTTACGTGCCGTTTGTGTCGCGTTGGTGCCACGACGGAACTCATATTCCATAATTACACGAATTTTTAAAGTATCCATTATGACCAAAAATGTTCAAATGTAATGAAAATACAACGCTAATCAAAAACCAAAAGACTGAGTTTGTAAATAGAATGTCATGGTTTAAAAACAAAATTAATTTGAATTTAGAATACAGAGCCATTACAAACTTTTTTTATTTGAAATGACCAGTACTGAAGAAAGGCAATTTCATAAGTAAAGACCTAATATAAAATAACCTCACTGAAAATTGGTTAATGACGATAGTAATTTAATTGCCAGGTATTAATATTGTCAAATCTACCCATCAGATATTGTTGTCACTCTGCCCAATACTCCATATAATTATCAAACTGCAATTAAAAAAAAAAACTGTGTGTACCGAAATTTAACCAGTCCTAAAATTTATAAATTTATTCGTAGGACGAAGTATAAAATGCTAATAGTCTTTTGTAAAGTCAAATCCACGCAGCATTTTCCTCGGGAATCCAGAAATGTTATCTATAAAAACAAATAAGTACTCAAGTTTAGAAAGAAAAGTCATAATTTAACCCTTAACGTAATTGTTTTCCAAATGGTCGTTTATGTAAACAAATAATGTCTATCCAAGTACACTAATCAGTGTTTCCTAGTCTTCACAATGAAGCCCATGTTATAAATACTAAGGCACATTACTCTCAATGTTGGTACCAAACTGATTATTGTCCGCATATATATGTATAATTTGAACAAAGGTTAACGCGTGACGCGTTCAATTGATGTTCTCTAGCTTCGTGAAACGGATGGAAACGCAACGTGCCGAGCAATAGCGTCACAAATCTGTATTACCGCTCGATCGCGTCAAAACACATGCTAAAACACGTGCCTGGATAAATTACGTCTGCTCACAATAGTTGGTAATTCGAACGTTTTACTGGCATTGATATTAAAGAATATAAAGGATGGATTTCAGTTGATACCTAAATAGTTGATTTCTTATAGCTTCAAATATTTTATTATTCAATGTGAAAATCACTAAAATGATCCATTTCTTAGGAATTCTAGACTAGCATTAAAAACTAAATAGAGGCCTCTCTGAAACTATTTATTTTATGAGTAGAAATATCATAGAAAATCACTTTGGCCATTGACACTCATCTTCTGTACGATGTGTCATAAAATTACGAAACCATTCCACCACTTGGGAACTGGGTTCCGGTGGGCCTGTGTGACTAGACTAGAAATGCGAAAAAGACTGGGTTTAAATCTTTCCATTTAAACCCAGTCTTTTTAAACCCAGTTAAACCAGACTTAACCAGACTTAAACCCAGTTTCATTTATTCGCTCCTACAGGGTTTTTATTCGGGTGTTTATTGATTTTATTGCTTTAATAGACGTAAATGTTAATAATTTATATTAACAGTGATGGCCAACAAATATTTTATATATTTTTACACATTTCACACACGGCCGTCTCATCCCAAACTAGACAGAGCCTGTGCTATGGTAATCAGACTGCTGATAAACATACTTATATATTTCGCAATAAAGGGTAAGAGTGCACTTTTTAAATTTAGAAAAAAAAAAAATTCGTGTAAGTGGCAACTCTGAAATTTGACAGCTGTCACCTATGTTTATTAAGATTATTAAAAATGGAGCGCTTTTTGAAAGAACAGCGCGTATATGATCATAGATAATACACTAATATAAGTTATATATGATTATGAAAACTCATTACGAAAAAGGGGAAAGTTACGCTGAAGCCGCTCGCAAAATTCGCCAAATTTTCAGTCGAGAAAGTGCACCTAATGTGTCAACCATTCGAAGAGTGATCAAAAAATTTGAAGAAACTGGGTCGACTATGAATATTAAGTATCCTTTTACATCAACGTACCGGTCGGTCTCTTGAAAACATTGCTGCTGTAAACGAGAATGTTGCCGAAACCCGGAAAACATCAATTTGGCATCGTTCTCAAAAACTTCAAATTTCACAAAGCACTACGCAGCGGCTTTTGACAAAAGACCTTCACCTTCATGCGTACAAGTTTCAGCTAAATCAGGAACTCAAACCAGCAGACAAAGGAAAGCGCTGGTAATTCGTTCAATGGGTAATGGAGCAAATGAAGTCGATGCCAATTTCTCGAAAAAAGCCTCATCAGCAGCAACGATTTCCAGAACACATTATCTCACGAAATACTGATGTCAACTGGCCACCAAGATCGTGCGAATTAACGCCGTGCGATTTTTTTTCTTTGGGGTTTTGCGAAATCTTGAGTTTACGCGAATAAACCAGAAACAATTCCTGAGCTCAAATCAGAGATCCAACGCGTCATCGGTGAGATACAGCCACATCTCTGTGTAAAACTCATGAAAAGAGTAATGGCCTGTCATTAGAGCCGAGGAGGCCATTTGCAGGATATTTTATTCCATACTTTACAACCCAATAAAAATCTTAGAACTTTTTCATAAAATACTTTTATTTAAAAATGAAAAAGTGCACTCTTTCTGAGACAACCTTTACATACATATTATAAATAAAGTACACCAAGACACAGAACAAATGACCGTGCTCATCACACTATTACTTGTCCTGGGTGGGAATCGAACCCACTACCTCTGGCGTAGCAGTCAGGATCACTTACCACTAGGCCAACAGGCCGGTCCAAACAGATATGCGAGTAGAAAGAAGGAGTACATAGTCGTTCTTTCTACTCTCATATCTATTTGTTATATTTTTATAATCTGAAACTGGCTATAACTGACGGATTATAAAGCAAAATCACGCTTTTGGAGCAAACACTTTGTTTGGTGTTATGGTGCCTTTGGGAAATTGATCCAGTTGTGTGGTGGAAAGGTAAATGCAGTTCTACAAAATTAAGTAAAGTGGCATTGAGAATGCCGACAGCACCATGTACATCTGCATACACAGAACGCACATTTAGCGCTCAAGCTCACATACGAAATGTAAAACGGAATCGTCTTACTGCATAAAGAGCTGCTTCAAAAACATTTGTTTCCTGTTATTTTAAATTTTTCACACATCTCTGCTCTGCTTAGTTTGGGATCAGAGGGCGTGTCTCACACGGCCGTCTGATTCCCAATTTGTCAGAGCCTGTATTATGGTAACCAGACTGCGATAAACATACTTATATATTTCTAAATATATATTTACATATTTTAAATTAAGTACGCCCGGACACAATTATTTCTCCTGGACTAAATTAACTAAAAATAAATCAAATGAATGCATAAGCACCGATGAGACAGGTTAGTGAGACAACCCCTCAGGGAAGTTCATTAGGAATCGTCATTTGTGACAATTCTAAGAGTGACTGATTTACATATTGCATGCTCATTTGGTTACAATACTTTGTTTTATTTAATAAATTAAACCCGTCCTCAGAACAGGATTTTGATAAAAATAAGAATAATCTCTTTGCATGTATTTCAATCTTTGCCAATAAAAAATCTATGCGGTTCATATACCAGACGAGATGCGTTAACAGTTTCTCATAAGATTCTCACTAAAAGCGGCATCCACCTACCACCTACCTGATCTTTTGAAAGGGATTTTAGAGTAAGGCAATAAATAGGCAATTACAATATTATTATTTAATATTAAATTATTTAAAACGACATCGAAGTGTCAGGAATTTGATATAATGCTATATCACTGCTATTTCATTTATTGTATACAAAATTACATTCGCTTTAAATATTTATTTTTAATATTTTTTCCATGATTAAGAAACTGAATTTTATATCATTATTATCTAAGGGCAAAGAAGTCTACTTGGGCAAACGACTCTTCTAAAAATTTAGCGTTTCTCTAGTACATCCTTTCTTATAATATATAACATAAATAATGTCATAATTATGTAGAGATCGAAAACTCTATTTATTTAGTTAGTCTATGTACTCGTAGTTAATATATTCATAATTCATAATTTTAATATGATTCTTGTAATAGTAAGCGGGACTAGTTAAGAATAAATGAAACTGAATGAAATAAATATTTTTTCATGTTGTTGAAGGTGGTAGCTGTCTTCAATTTGTCACAATTCAATTTAACGGTGAACACTACAGCAAATCATGTGGTGGATCGATCTACTCCTGCCTTTTGCTCGGTAAGTCTCGAGTGATACTCGGTCTTGTTAGTCTAATGATTAGAGATCCTGACGGCCGAGCCGAGGATTTGATTCCCACCGAGAACATAATGTATAATTGTGATAAACATGATTATTTGTTGTTTTTGTTGTAATTTATGTAAAATATGTATGTATAATATAGTTAGTTCTATAATATATTTTTTTATAAGATGTTAAACAGTAGTCTGGTTACCGTAGTACAGGCTTCGCCTGGTGAGATCAGGACGGCCGTATGTAAGATATCCCAAATTATCGTTATTTGAGAATATAAGTCGAGCTTAACACTTCTCGATATCTTTTAAATATGATATTTCTTATGTTTTTTTTGTGGGTGAATGTAAATTTGAATTTGTAATTCTACAACAGTTGAGGCTTGATAGCATTTTATTTATTATTTAAATACACTCACGACTTTCTCTAAAAGGATATTCAGAGACGTTTAAACGCACACATTTTGCCAATTATGATTTAGTTACGTTGACTAAATAGGGAAAAAAAAAAAAATAGGTAATAGGGGAAGGCAATGGTAGGTAGGAACTATTGCTCATATTGGACGGGTAGGATTGTATACTTGTAACTTAAGTGGCCATCCATAAATTAGGTCACAGGTTAACGAGGTAGTAGACGAAGTGTGACGAGGACTGGGAGGGTCTCCTAGGTTCAAGACGTCACATTTCAAAATCCAATATATGTAAGTAAAAAACGCGAAATTAACAGTAATATAATTCTTCGTTTTTTGATTTGTTATTTTATTCAAATGTTTGATTTAAGGATGATTTTGTAAATGTTTGATTTGATGTCGATTTTGTAAATGTTTTAATTTCATGTTGATTAAAAAACTATTTCAATTGAAATAAAACTGATTCCGAAGCAACTGTTTTAATTAAATAATGGCAAGATGTAAATTGCACAAAAGCTATACGACGTCAAACTTGGGAGAGGGAAGTCTCACAAATGTGAGCAGCTTGTGACTAAGACAGGGATGGAGATGAAAAAAACCATGAAATTCGTTTGACGTTAGTTTAAGGATGGCTTCCTCTTGACTTAAAGTGAAAATCCTCATACTGCATTTGAATTAAGTTTAGCTGTTATTTACAGGACGGGTTCTCCTGCGTCATTTCTATGCATGACGGTGTGGTGATGTATACTACATCTTCATTGACTGCCACTCTTGGATTTCCAAAAGATATGTGGATTGGCAGGTCCTTCATTGACTTCATTCATCCTAGGGTAAGACACCTCGTTTTTTTTTCAAATATCGGTAAAATTTACTATTTTACCCTACATATTTGCCATCTTTTATGTATTGAAATTATGAGCATATGTACTTACAAACTGATTTTTTTCTTGACAGGATCGCAGTACGTTTGCGTCGCAGATCACCAGCGGTTTGGCTGTCCCAAAGATTGTTAATGGTACGCAAATAGAAGGTAAATCTAATTTTATAAATCCATTGTGCCAATTTGCTTTCATTTATATTATTTCGATATTATTTTAGCATGAATTTTATTTGTTACACGTGTACAAAAGAAAATATTTAAGGCAAGATGTTATTATAAACGCAAAATCTTTAATAATATATGTAATTGCATGTTAACTCTAATAAGTTGTCTTTAATCAATTAAAGCAGAAGTTCTGATTTTACTTGAACTGCAAAAAATGCCTATGATAAAGTTTATTATATTTTATATCTCTTAAAATAGTAAAGTTAGTAAGTATAGTAGAATTTTATTATATATATTAATTTTAGTTTTGTGTGGTCTCGTGAGGATCTTAAATACTAACGGGTTGTCAACAATTTTATTAGAAACGATGATATCAATATTATTTTTGAGAAAATGACTCGATGCTTAATATATATCTTTACTTCAAAGTGCATGATTTCAGATCAATCATTCGTTACGAGTCTTAGCTGTTATTTGAGGTTTTGCGTTTACCTGATCAACATCTTTATGGATAAGGTACACTTTGATTGCTTGTGGTCCAGTATTAAGTGTGGTTTGTGTGTATGTTAAGTTTTTGCACATATTAATTACACAGAAAGGTCATAACGGTTACAAACTGTTTATGATTGATGGATTATTATGTATTTTTAACATTTCTTGGAGATTCAATTTTTGTGATTGGCACATGGATGGATTAAGTGAATGCTAGTGTTACGGAAAAAGTATCTCCTAAATGTATATTACATTTAGATTCCTTTTATAAATTAGCGAAATTGCTAATGTATTACTAGTTTTAAGGCTGGTTTTTTTTTTAACAAAACCCTGGTAGTTTGTTAGTCTGGTATTGGGTCATCATCCCCTATGTCGTGACTGGCCATAATTAGAATGTTCGCCGATATGTTATATTACCGTAACAATATTTATGTACTTCTAAATTGAACAAATATTTATATTATTGTTCCAATAAGGGATTTTAATGGTATACAATCGGGATAGCAAGCATTTTTCCTAATCGATATTAAATGTGCCATGTAACTTTAAAAAAGTAGACCAAACAAAATTGTGAAGTTAAAAAAAGTATAAACACGTGTACAATGCAGGCAAGCCAATGATTTCGTGGCTTATTTATTATAAATATGTTACTAGGAAAATAATAGGCCTCTTTTGGTTGGTTTTCCTCGTCTGAACTTAATATATATTTTAGGATCTAATATAATATATGTAGGTATATGAGGATACATTTGTTTATTTTTTTAAATCTTCAAAATATATTCATTGTACAAATTTAAAATAATTTTAATTTAAGAAAAACTTATAACCAAAAACACATAATATCAACAGGTTTAAAAAACTATGCCTTAAAACTAGTAATACTTTTAGCAGGATATAACACTTAATTTTAATTACTTAAGTACACTTATTACAACCGCTTTGTTTTATTTTTTAATAACAAGCATTCACTTCCATACTAAAATTGCACAAAATTAAAATTTATTTCAATAAGTTTTAATATTGTTTTCAATACGAATTGAATGACCAAGATGGTGGGTAGTAAATTTTATATAGAATATTAAGTAACTAGACTTTTATGTTTTGAAAAAAAAAAAAGATTTTTCAGAGCCAAATTATAATTTAGGTGTTACGAAATTATGGAACTTTATTTACATTATTTAAAATAAAATTAAGAAAAAAATGATACTTGAGACATTGTAGGCCAGGAAGTAGCATGCATATTTAGATTTGTTTTCATTAATACTTTTATTACATTCCTATGGTCCATAGTTATATCTAATATTTTGTTTGTTTTCAGAATGTATTCCAATGTTAAAGAATATGCGCATCATTTTACAGTGCGAGTAGTTATTCTATTAGAAAACTGCAAATAAAAAAAATGAAAAAATCTTTTTTTTTAATTGTTTTTTTTTTTGTTTATATTGTTTACGTTTTCACAAGTTGTATAGCATATTATGGTCGAGAAAAAGATCCTAGATACAATGATGAAAATTTTTCTTCAGCTCAATCGCCCGCTAATTCGATATCGTCTATGGTATGCCGTATCAGACGTTACAGAGGTTTGACATCCGGATTCAGTGTCAAGGATAGATCTGTGAGCTACATGCCATTCTTGCTCAAGCTCTCTTTCAAAGACATTAACGATGAAGAGCGCAAAGTTATATACTTGGTGATTCAGGCTACACCATTTTTCTCGGCGTTTAAAAGTAAGTATAATTCCAATTAAATGTAAGCTTTAATCTGTTGGCCTAGTGGTTAGTGATACTAATTACTAAGTCAGAGGTCGTGAGATCGAATCTCACCCAGGACAAATACCAAAAATAAATTTTAAGTTCGAGATGCGTGACGAGTCTATATTCTATCTATTACCTTTAAACGACCAATTCTAGTATATATATATATATATATATATATATATATATATATAATCTGAATTTCGAAAACGGCTCCAACGATTTTCATGAAATTCAGTATGCAGGTGGTTACGAGGGCGATTAATCGATCTAGCTAGGTTTTCATTAGCAAAGGTCAGTCATCCAGGTACTATAATTTATGTATGCCCGTGTCTTGATGGACCACATGGACTAAATAATTGCCCGTGGCAAGATAGAACTATTTTAACACGACAATTTCATGAACATTTTAAGATTTCTATAACATTCTGGGCAATTTAATTGTTTTAGCGCCCCATGAAGTGGTGACCAATGCAGTACCGTTTGTGATGAGGCATGCAGCGAATGGTAATATTGAATACATGGATCCAGAATCTGTGCCATATTTAGGATTCTTACCACAAGATCTAGCGGAGACTGATGCCCTTCGATTGTACCATCCGGAAGACCTCAGTTACATGCGCCAGGTGTATGAAATTATTGTCAAAGAAGGTGGCCTCCCAAGATCTAAAGTGTACAGGTGTGTAGTTGCTGAGTATCAGCCAATAATTGAATGCTAATTGTTCTTATCATAACAGTACTAAACTTTATATTAGTAAAATAAGATTTTTGATTAAGAGTTGATTAGTAATACACTCACACTAGACCTTTGCGATATTCCGTTCTGTTAACATTATTCACTGTATGGAGTGATTTTATGTATTCTAGGCTTTCAGCCTAGACTACATAAATTATAAACACGAAATATTAAGATTCATATTGCCGTAGCTAGATTTTTACATTCCATAGTGCAAAGTAAGCATCCATTGATCGGTGTGCCTTTCTTAAAATATTTTTTTACTTATCCTGTTATTATTTTAGGATGATGACGCAAAACGGGGACTACATAAAGTTGGAAACGGAGTGGTCTTCTTTCATAAACCCTTGGTCTAAGAAACTCGAATTCGTCATTGGCAAACATCATTTAATAGAGGTATCGTAGAATATTCAAATTTAAACTAAGACTACCCCCTCCCTGTTTCACCTGTCCTGTCCCACCCGGCACAGGAACACATAAGGAGGAGCAAACACGGGACACTTCGCTCCGGGGCGCACTTCTCCACCTACCTCGGCCACCTCCCTGATCAATGCCACAGGGACACCGCTCTGAGGCTAACTCTGTCTACATAAATCGCGAAATCGTATCTGTAATTAATTTGTTTTAAATCTTTGCAATTTCAATTATATACTTTGAAACTGTACTGTACCTGACCTGTATAATTTCTCTTCACGATTTAATTACTGGATCGACCACGTGTAAGCACACAAAGCCAGCCTCTTCACCACGTTTTATGAATATAGTCTTAATAAACAGTTAGGTCTAAAATTTCTAAACATCATAAATTGGTTTTAAGGGTCCAGCTAGTCCAGATGTATTCCAAGTTTCTGACCCTGACAAAGCACCCAAGTTGTCCGACGAAGATAAGAACAAGGCAATAATGTTCAGAGAAACTATCATTCGGATCATGAACCAGGTAAACAACTTACTGTTTTATATTTATTTAAACAGTAAATATTGTTTTAAAGTGAGTGTGTTCATCTTTTTGCATGTGCACTGTTGTATAATGTATTACTTCCATTCCTAGAAAGTTTCCATTAAATTACATTCGATGGGAGTAGTTAATTAATCAAGACAATAGAGTGATTGACAAATTGAATGAACAATCTATCAGCAATTGAACAAGTATAACACTTGCTCGTCGAATATAGTTCATGTACCGTATTCGTGCAAGTGTTATGGAAATAACCTGTTGACTCAACTTTTCTTTATATATATGAGTTTAAAATATATTTATAAGTGAAAAAAATTATTGATGATTTTTCATACCATGCACTTACAGGTACCGACTAAACCAGCGGAAGCGGCAAAACAGCAAATGAGCAAGCGATGTCAAGATCTTGCGTCATTCATGGAAAGCCTTATGGAGGACCAACCCAAGACAGATGAAGAACTACGATTAGACATACAAGACCCTGATCACAGTTATTATGTAAGCTATAAATTTTATATACTGACATGACCATATCTTACAGGTTATAAGGGTATCAACATCACAAACAGTTCACCTGTCTGGAACAGATTTTTACATCAAATTAATTGTGTGTATATTGTATTATTTCAATATTATTCCGTTTATTCGGCTTGTTGTTATTGTAGGGGTTTCTTTTTCAATATCTGTATATACGAGTATTCATTTAAAGTTATGAACGAAAACGAAATGAACTAAGCAGAAATTGTTTAAGAATCCTGACGACGAAATCTGATGTTTGAGCGTTGCTACCATCGTACATTTACCGACCCGTCGGTACCTATGCTAACAAGTCATCTATGTTCTGTTTGTTTGATAAATTGAAGTATAATAGCTATAAACTACATAGCAGAATCTTGGAAGAATAATAACAGTACAAAAAAAAAACAAAAAAAAATACGCCTTTAGAACTAGCCGGACTAAAAAGTAGAAATTAACTTTCTATAAGTTCAAAAGAAAAATCATTTTATCGATCTCAAATGTTGTTGTTGTTGAAATGTTGAACCGACTTCAAACGGTAATAACAAAGAGCACTAAAAATTTAAAAATAATTATAAATCTAATTTAAAAAACTAAAATAAGTTTTCCTCGAATTCTCTAGGATTCTAGCAAACGCCTCTTCGTACATAGCAGAAGACGCTACCGTATTCTTAACTATGGAAAAAGTCGTTAATCCTGAAGATCCTGATCAGGATTATTGGGCCAAATTTTTGTCTTGTCATCGGTGCTTGATATCGTTTTAATTTAATTCGACGTTTTGGAGTAGGTCAAAATACTTATCCATAAAAAGCTAATAAAATCCTGTTAAAATTAAGTTCTTTGTGGATCATTAGTTACCACCTTGGCTTGATCGTTTCTCCCTATGTCAAAAAAATAATAATATTGAGATGATAGTTGCTATCTGTCAACTACATGTCCGAAAAATGGACAACCGCCCATTTATGTACCTATATAAAAGTAAAGAGTAGAAAGATGAGTAGAAAATAATATCCTAGTTAAAGTTGCAAGAAACCTTTGAACAACAGACATACATATAAAACTGCTGATTTTGTATGACTTTGTTGATTCGATACCCAAAATAAGGCTCAGTAATGGACTACTTTTGCGTATAGGAGCGTGTGTGAACTGTATACTATACTATACGTTCAATAAAGGTCCATAAAAAGTAGCTAATGTTTTACTTTTATTTTTTTCACCCTTAGATAAGCACATGGTGCTCTACAGCATTGAAAAGAACCCTGAAAATGTTTTTCATCTTTTCAACTACTCACCTCAACCTGTGAAAACGTGTGTGTGCACACTGGAAATTCTGGTTTTAGTAAATTATTGCCTCTCCACATCTGCTTTCTTTTGACCTTTATTTTACTTACAGGAACGAGACTCCGTGATGCTTGGAGGTATTTCTCCCCACCACGACTATAATGATAGTAAATCCAGTACCGAGACACCTCTTAGCTACAATCAACTCAACTATAACGAAACATTACAAAGGTAAGGCTCACATGATGGTGCAAAGTAGGAACCTATTAGGAAAAGCTTAATATACAGGTGGAAAACGTAAAGTGTGTGTAGATGATTAGAAGATATTTCAGTCCAACGAATAGTGCTAGTAATAGATAAACCGCTTAATTGAGTTAGGGGTACGTGGGCGAGGCGGTAAGATGATAACAGGGACCAGGATGTGAGCGGGCGGCGGGTGCTTAAGTACTTGTTTGACTGGTCTCAGCACCCTTATGATGGATGTTGTTAGACCAGTGTTGTGAGTTTTACGGTTAAGAATACCGCATCATGAGTATCTGCGTACGTTATTCAATAAAGTCAAGTACGTTACGTTAGTTAAATTATCCCATACCTATTAGCAATACGTGCATCTTGTTGTTTTATAGAATTATAAACACCGTAATTATATAAAATCAACAAGTAAATTATATAAAACCAAAGGCAGGTACTTTGAACATCATATTAATTAAAAGAGTTACAAAATAAAACCCTATGTACCCAATACATTCCACCGTGTTATAAATATAAGACTGCCATCAAAGACCAAATTCTGAACCCATAGCGTATTTTAAAAAAATGATTTTATGTCTTTTAATGCATTCACTTAAAAGTTTGGCTGCATATTCTTAAAATTGACAACAGAATCGTCCGGAAACTTAACGTTTCCACCCTGTGTATACCTACACCAATAGGGAATATGCACGTGACACCAAACGGATAAAATATTTTGATTTGTAATTTTTATTGCTAAAAAAAAATATCCATACAATTATTTTTGAAATTTATTATAATTTAATAGTGAAATTTAATCATCAAAAATTGGCTTTTTTAAGATTCCTTCGCAAATTTCTAAAACGCAACGCTATTGGTTGAATAGAACGTGACGTCAACCTACACTGTCAAGAGTGTCAACAAGTTGTGTGTATTTGTAATATTTGGTTTCTGGTGATTATTTGTTTCATTTTAGGTTAATAACTAATACGTTTTCAGTGTTAAATTATTAATTTCCCGTGTAGAAAGACTCAACACAATGACTGAATATACTTTGTCAGGTGCAGTTTTGATATAATTTGGGCACAAAGGAACGGCACAATATTTATAATAAGTTTTTATTGGCTTTTCCATGGTAATAAGTTAATTTTTATCACTCACTTTTTAACTTTCATAAACTCTGTGAACTTCACTCCGTTGTTGACATCGAATTCGTCTGAAAGTGTAATCTGAAGTCACAAAAAAGCGCGCCAAAATGGACGTGTTCAAATTGCCCCAAAATGATAGTGATTTTAATAATTTTTTTTTTGCTTAACGGTTTATATTTCGGATGTGTTATATTTATTTTTGGTAATGTAATAACTAGTAGAATCGTTTAAAAAAATAAAAAAATACATGCATATTCCCTATTGCCATTCTAGTCTATTATTTGATTTGATTGATCTAGGTCGATGTATGAACAAAAACTGTTGTAAATGTGTTACAATTGGTATGGTTTAACTAAAATACAAATCCATTTCAGATATTTTGCCAGTCATCAGCCACATTCGTATGAAGACTATAATACAGTTGCAGCAGAAAATATTCTGGGGTTGAAGGATTCGAAACCTGTTTGAAGTGAGTTTAAAAATTCTTTTTTTGTTTTCCAGAAGTAGCTTCTGGAAAACATGATATCATTATTGGCGTCATCGGTAGACCCTTTTAGTCTGGGAGTTCACAACTTTTTTGAAATAATTACCAACGCTTCATTTGTTCAAAATAATAAACGTAAAGTAGAATCACACAAAGTGCCGTCCCATATGGGGATCAGGCCCATAACACTCAGCGTAGTAGTGAGCGGCGTTGCGACCACCTAAACCACTACGCATTATTACACTACTATGTATTATTTTAGGCTTTCTATCAGTAGATCTATTTCATTAAATAATTATTTACAATTTTTAAACTTCCTGTCAACTCGCGAATTTGAAAATTTAATTTTCGCGGTTAATGTTAATTAGACAGCAAAGTTTTTGATCCATTTTATAAAGTATGCGACCATTTATGTAGTGTCTTAGTACAAAATATTATTGTTATGTTTCAGTCACTGTTTATCTCCTATGGCGTCCAGTTCGTCAGACTCCAATCTTATGGCTATTGGCAGCCCCACAGCGCGTTCTGGAGATTTGCTGGCAATCCGTCTTACTGAGACCCTTACTTACAAAGTTAGTAATGCCCCTAAGATTTAAAATATAAATTGCCTTATTGATAGTTTGTTCTATATTCGTAAATAACTTACTAAGTCTATCGATCGATATCATTTTCTTCCTTAAACATCGTCTTGTCTTTGAAAGTTTAGTAATGTGAAAAGCAGTTAATACACTATAATTGATTTCATCGATAATAAAGTAAGTACAAATTAAAAAAAATAACTTGCCTCGAAAATCCCTGTAACTATTATAACGGAGCTGATGATACTCGAACGGCTGAACAGATATTCTTGACTTATAGAAGAACACTCGTTAAAGCCACATTTCAAACAAGAAGAACTGAATCATTGTCGGTCCATACGTTCAGAAGCTGCTACACTGCTCTACGTATCAAACTTCTAACATCCCTTTAACTACATTTAAAGGGCTTTGCACATTTGTCACGTCCACAAATGTGTCCAAAAGCGCTATATTATATACACATAATTCACGTAAAATTTTAATCGTCATTAAAATAGTCAATTAAATTTATTTATTAGCAGAAATAATGCAGAAGCATATTTTAAAGTCCTTATTTTCTCAAATTCTAATTCACTTTAATGGATGTGAAGCCAAAAGGAATAAAGGTCTTTAATTCTTATTTTTCATAAATAGAATATGACTGACTGCTGAAATTTAACATTCTTTACAATGTAATATTGAATATACACATATAGAATACCTTTATTTCATATTACAATGTAAAGAATGTTAATACATGCATGAATAACAGCACCATAACTATTCTTGTATTCCCTGTAGACATAATACTGAGATGGAAAAGAAGTTATTGAAGATACACCGTGAGACTCGCACAAGTAATAAGGATGAGCGAGAGAAGGCTACAAATTGAGACGAGACAAAAAAAGAAGGAGCATCTAGCTCGTTGTAATGCCTCGTACCAGCCCACCACTGCTGGTGGTGCTTCGACTACCGAGAATCAGGTAAGCTACTACGACGGTAAATTGTACAGTTAAATCAGTGATCGTCTAAACAATGCTGTAGCTATGATTATGTTAAATTTCTATTAAATAAGGATTAATGACGCCATATGCCTCCAAATCATTCATATAGAATAATAACAAATCTCCATATACAAAAATGTTAAGTTAGTTTGTGTACGCTTCAAAAATTCAAAAATTAAGCTTAAAGTTAAGCTTAAAGTTTGACACGATTTACAAACCGCTTCAGGGATTGTTTTTATATATTTTTCGAGTCAGTTTTGTTACTCATTTCTCATCAATGCAACCACAATATCCACAGCGAAGCGTAGCAGGATAGAGCTAGGTAAAAATAATAATACGATTCTACCTTTCCTAGGGACAATCATGTTTTAATAAACAAAACGCCATTCTCGTTCCTGCCGTTTTCTACATATCATAACACTGCATCGTTTACATATCGCATGCTGTTAAGTTGTGCACTGATATATATTAAAATAAGAAAAAACTTTATATTTTTGTTTAACCTCCAGCCACATGGCGTAAAACGGTCGTCAAAGTTTTTAAATACGGAAACCTCAAACGCGCACAAGCACCACTGCACATCCCCGAGGCAGTCGCGACGCATGAGGAGCGCAGTTTGTCGACTAGTGTGGCAGTGGCACAACCTTCATCTGCTATAAGTACCACTGTTGGTAAGTTGAAAATACAGTAATAAAACTGTGTTTGTTTTTATAAAAAATTGAAAAGATAATAAAGAGTACATACGTACTTTAAGTTTAACAAGTTCTTCACCTTCTAATAAAATAATATTATTCACATGAAATAGCTTTCCACAAATAAGTTTCATGAAGTAACTTATCATTTACACTTAAGCAAAGATTTATTGTTGAAGATAAGTAGATAATATTAGAAACTGTCCATAAATTCTGTTTGTGCTGGATTTCGGAGCCGTATTCGCGGATATCAGAGGTTAAAAATTGGTTTCTGTTATTTTTTACTTATCTTAAACACATCTTTCACTGTTCAAAATCAAATATTGAGATATATAATATTATGAATTACCAACATTGTGTTCATTAAAAGATATAATTTGACTATCGTTATAAGAAGATCTCTCTAGTAAAATATGTATTAAAATAATAATTTTAAAAATTGCGCGTTGTGCAAGTATAAGATGTTTTTAGTAAAAGTTGAGGTAAATATCCATATTCGTGGAAATAGAGTATAACAATTTAGGGGGGGCTTATTGAACTAAAACTAATTAAATAAATAAAATGGGGAGGGTTATTGAAGGTAACACTTATTACTGCACTAAAAAGAACAAAAATCGATGTATAAACATAGAAGTGACAAGGACTACTCTGTTGCCTGCTTATAGAAGTGATGTTGATGAAGATGATATAAGTGAAGTTTTAATATACTTATTAACATCTTTTTCTTTCTTGCTACAGCTGCATCTCACTGGCCTGTCACGTCGGTGAGCAACATGAATACATTCATCTTGGGTGTCGGCATACCGCAGCAGATGTCTTTCATGAGCCCTGTCCCAGCGGTGTCAGGTATATTTCCTTGTATAAAACATGCATTATTACATATTTTACTTTAGACTAGCTCAAGGCATCTAGTAAAAATTTACAGTTTTCAATTTATATAGCTACGCTTGTTGTTACCTACTATGGAGGATTTACAGCCATGAGAATCAGAACATTAGCAGACAAGAAAACAGATAACCAATGACAAATCCTCTATGATAGTATTTTATTAATATTGTATTATATAATTATACAGATATGCCCGGTTATTCATGTATTATAAAGCAGTCAAATAATCAGTTGTCAGGTTTAAAAAAAAAGAGTATTTTATTCGCTCACTTTCAAACAAACATTTGGGAATCGGTGAAAAGCGTTGTTCTAAGTATTATCTATTAAGTATCATTTAAAATTACAGTATGGACAATCGTTACTTACAGCAGGAGTGTTTCCGATGTATTATGCGCCCGCAGCCACCGCGGCCAATATTCCTGCGACTCCGGAATCGAACGCCACCTCTAGTAATACTGCTACGATGTGCCAGCCCCCTACAAGTTAGTTACGTTTTTATCTATAGTAAAATATCTATAACAAATTGAAACAGAAGAGCGCGGTAATCAGACAATAAATAGGGACGAATATTTACGTACTTCATAACTATGTAACCTCAATCGCGTGGTGTTTGCACAACATAATAAAGAAATCATCAAGCTACCAACTGATCTTTACAAGAGAAGAAAGAGATAGAGAGAGATCTAGGATTGTAGCTTAATACTTCCAATGCTACTGCTCCTGTCATAATCAATGTAGCGGCGGTCTACAAACACTACTTAATCGTTAAAGGAAATACTTTTATTTTCAGTGCAATGTATGATGTACGGCCAACCTATGTACGGACCCCAGTTCGTGTACTCGCCGATGACTCCTCAAATGTCGTATCCGTTCCAACAAACGATGATGGGCCAGACAATGTTATGCACCAACTCTATCAATTCACTTGGTTTGACTAACCGCAATTATGAAGAGGTGAGTTATATGATAACTACTTAAGTATTCAAATATTATCTAGTTAGATTATTGAAACTAGCGACATTAATTTTTAGGTATTATATTGTCATAATGTTTGTCTACATTAGCTAAAAGCATGTACTGAAATGGGGTGTGTAGTGAGGCACAAATCGCACGGTACAAGTAGCTTAAATATGTTATATTTAGTGCAACTTGCGTGACATAACTTAAATATATTAAAGTCGTACTACTAAACGCGTTTAAAATGGTTAAACACAATTAGCATCTTGTACAAGGATAAATTTGTCGCTAACAAGTTTAAGGCACTGCCAAAGTTAATCACCGAAAATCTACTATTTAGCGGCGCTAAACGCGTTTTAGAACAGTGGAACTGGCAGTTTTAAATTTTAGGATAGTTTATTGTTGTAAGGATTTCATTGATTTGCTTTCTAAAAACTTAAATAGACAATTAGTACGGCATATTTTCCCTTGGACCGATTTATTAAACTCTCCGTCTGAAGATAAACTTGTACGGTGATTTCGTTTGAGCTTACCGATAACTTTATCATTGCGAGTCGGTCTTTTCACACTCAACAATATTTTTATACGGCTTCATTACAGAAAACAATAATAACCGCTCTTCCTTGTTATAGTTAGGTACTCTGGTACTTTTTGTTTTATCATTCATGTGTAATATAAATAAAAGTTATAAAAATATTAAAAAATATCGGCGCGGAGCTGAGCTCGACAAGTTAACTCGTCAGTGAGGTAAAGTTAGGTTATGGAGCTTTCATTCGTGTTATTGTTTTGATAAACAATAACCAGGATTTTTAAATGGAACGTAGAAACTGCTTTATCGGTCCCATAAACAAATTTAACTAAATGAGCCTCGTCGTTGTGCAAGACGTCGCTAAATTTGTTTAAGTTAAAAGTGTTTTTGTGTTCAATTTTATTTAACTAATTTTGTTTAGTAGCTAAATTAAACGCTGTGCAAGTCGCCCCTTAGTTTAAGACTAAATTGCCTATATTTATGTAATATAAAATTAGTTTTTAGGGTTCCGTAGTCAACATTTGTACAAAATTTCATGTATGAATGTGTAAAAATAGCATTTTAACTTACTTTAGAATTAAAAATACATTTATCTAAGTTACTCTTAGTAGGGAAACATTTTGCATAGGTGTTATTATTATATAAATGTGTGATATTTTTATTTAGATTATACATCGTTAAAAGCACGTCAATGTAGTGAGATGAAGATTGTTAATTTTCGTAAATATTAACAGAAGTGTCTACGAAAAAAACGTATGGTAATTTAATCTCTAGGAGAGATATCTCTGCAGTCTTATATATAGGAAATAAAGACAGTGCTCATTACGTGTACAATTTGAGATTGCAGTTTACGCAATCATCATAGTTTAGAAAAGTTACTTATTGCAATACTTACGTAAGTAGAAAAATAGATTAGAAAGGATTTTGATCCTAGACGTTTTTGATTACAGTTTGTACATAGGAAGAGTTTGCAAATTCTAATACTTTAAGTGATACAGACATAAAATGCTTTCTCGATGTTCTAAATTAAAAACTTAAACTATGTAGTTAATATATTTGCTACGGAACCCTAGACCGTCTGTAAAGAAAATTTATCCGCGCTATTATTATTGAATACTTAATTTGTTATACTACCCACCGGGTAAACAAATGCTTGTACATACAGCTAAGGAAATGTTTAAAAATGGTGCTTCAAATTCTATTCGTCTTAGTGTAACTTAATGGACTCGCTTTGATATAGATATTTCTATGTTAAAAGTAAAACTTATTTAAACTTATCGTTGTGTTATACCTACGCAGGCGTGTAAGCCCAGTATAATGTTGAGGGCTGGGCGACTTGGCGGTTGGCGAGACAAGAAACGACCTGAATCTAAAGCAACGTCTTCGAAAATTGACCTCGGATGTGAAGATATTAGCTCCTCAACGAAAGCATTGAATCGGGTATGGAATCTCAACCTTACAGTTCTTATTTGAAAGCACACCCTGTCATCGCTATTTTTATTTTTATTTCCCTTCGTTTCGCTTCGCTTTATTCTATTATATTTATGGTATATACGCAAAACACATAAAAATTAAACATACCCTTTACTTCAGAGTACGGAGGCTGTGCCGGAAACGCCTCGAGACGGTCACATACATCAGAACAAAATGAACAGGTTTGGTAATAGTGAAGAGACTGTCGATAGGACTGACGGTGAATCCAGTTACTCATCTTTCTATTCGTCGTTTTTCAAAACGGAATCTGGCAGCGCGGAAGAAAGTGGAGACGCTAAGAAAAATGAAGCTAAGGACAGCAGAATGCGGGTGAGAATTAGATAGCGATATGATTTCGTTTTTAAAGCTTGATAGTACTTTTGTGTCCCTGTTCATCATTTTTTCTGTACAGTGTAGTAGGTAACCATTCAAATTAAGCAAAACCTTTTTTGTTAGACGATAATTCATGTCTACATGTGTGGTGATCAAAAAGCTCTACAGAAGATTGAGATATAAAAAAATGTCTCGCGATGAGAGCTTTAGTAGTTAATCTTCAGTAAAAGTTAAAGAGTAGAGAATGCTGAGACAGAGTTACCTGAAATTGCTCTAGTATGTTCATCCTATCTACTTAAGGAAGGTGGCAGCTGCAATTCATTATTGTTAATATAGTTTGAAGTACTTTTTCTTACTAGCTCGTCTCTATGTACGGAGATAAATCATACCATTGGTTTTTTAAAGTACACAATAAACATTTAATAGATGTTCTTTTGTTTTAGAGCCCAATCCATTGTATTCCTACTTATTATGAGCCCAAACAAGTGAAAAAGGTAACCAGGAGGAAGATGGAACCTCCATGGATGGAACAGGTAATTACAAATTCCTATTAATACTATTGAATAAAAATATACTTTGATTTCTGACATTGACATTGCTCTTTAAACGTCCTTTTTAACAGGCGATAATTGCTTGCTACTGTTTTTTGTTATCTGTATATTATGTTGATTTTATTAACGAAAAGTAGGTAGAGACAATTTCAACACGTCTGTACGATTTTATTAAACGAATCTGCCCTAAAGCGAATCTGTCCTAAATTAATAGAAATGAAGTAAATAATTAATAATTCACGCAAACAGTATACATATAAAAAGTATTTTTATGCTCAAGACGTTTGTTTTGCGAGTGTACTTGCCCAACATTCGGTTTGCAGCAAACTTCATTCGAGCAGACTTGTATGTGCGCGTATTGTAAATACTAAAAAGACGTCGGGATTGAAAATGGAAGGGTATTAATAAGTTTGCTTATTCGTAAATTTTAACGATTATTCGTATACAAGTGATTTTGAGGAGTCGCAACACTGCGTTTAAATGACCTAACTACGTGACTTTGAAACGAAGTCTAAAAAAAATTATATCTAATGTATATGTTGGTTATTTTGGTTATTTAGTCAATAAGAATTGTACTTTTTCTAATAAAATAGAAAAAGCATTATAATTTCATGGGTTTACTTAAAAGTTTAATATAATAGTGTGAGTTACGCCAATACAAAGTTGTTTCTTCTTGAATAGTATGAAACGTCGAACGGTATATTTTAGATTAGATGGACTATAATTAAAAATCATCTATACCATTTATGAAGCGACCAATTTTCGAATATGAGTTCCTTTTGCTGACTTCATCGCTTTCCGTCTAGCAGACTTCTACAGTAACAGTAAAAACTGCATCAAAATGATAAATTAAATAGATAATTTAGGCCAGTACTTTGACTAAAAAATGAAAAAAAACATTGAAATCTCCAACTTCATTTCAGTAAAGAATACCAGTACGTTTATAATAATACAAATAATAAAGCAGATGAAAGCAAACGGACTAAGGCTCACTGACTAAAACTTCGCTACTAATGTTTGTGTGCTTTTCTTGTTCACCTGAACTGTATCCAGCATAATGTGATTATATCTTTATGCTTTAAGGTATGCCTGACGTCCGAGCTGATCTACAAATATCAAATTCTAACAAAGAATGTAGAGGAAGTTCTCACTGCTGACAAACAGAAGTTGAGTTCGTTTGAACAGGTTAGTAAATTTATATGCGTTTACATAGACCAATATCGCACTGGTCAATATCCTGGTTTTATAAATTTCAATACTTTTAATAGATAATTTGGTTAGTTTCTACTTTAAATAGTCCCCAAAAATCATCGAGTTTTTCTAGACTACTTTTCCCAAGACTTGTATTGAAAATTATATTAGGATCTCTTATCTTCAAATGTAAGCCTTAAAGTTACAAAATAGTCAAGATTTTCTCACTTTTTTTCACCCATAGGAATATTCGTATCTTTATATTACCAAGAAAATGATATATGCAATGCTAGTTAAATGCTTCAGTTTTCTATTGGCTATAATAAAAAATGACCGACAAAACTTGTATATTTACACAAAAAATTGTAAAATTTTCAAGAAAAATCGCTCTAGATTCAAGTCGTAATTCCTATACTATCATTATTGCAGCCGTCACTAGTCAACGATCAATTGGGCCAACTGTACTTGGATATGCAATTAGAAGGCGTTGCAGCGCGACTGACGCTGGAAGAAGGCATTACCAGCTCCAGTAGTTCTGGGGAAGAAACGTCTATAAAGCCTTCCAAGGTAACTTAAATATTTTTAGTACTATTTTTGACTGGCACGGATGGCGCACTGGTTTAAGCGGTCACCGCGCTGCTTCCTACTTCGCTGAATGTTGTGGGTTCGATCCCCACATGGGACAACAATTTATGTGATCCACAAATTGTTGTTCTGAGTCTGGGTGCCCTTTGTGTCAGTTTCATGTATGTATGTATAGTCCCTCGCGACACAGGATTTATTCCTAGTGCGGGAGTTGTCTTTTTCAAAACTTCTATGGGAGGCTTATCTTTTGTAGACATCAAAACTTATAAGTTCAAGTATCAAAACTTACAGTGCCAGTGCTCTGTACTAGTATACGATAAGGATAGCTACTTGAGAGTTTATCAATAGGAATATCAATATAACTAAATCCATGATGAAATGATGAATAGGAATAATAAATAAACGTAAAACAATGCGTGATCTAGTCACACATACGTCGTTGTCGTGTAGTAATACAGCTATGTTATAAATTTAGGTTACCCGTCGGAAACGCGAATACAGTAAACTGGTGATGATATATGAAGAAGACGCCCCCATGCCGCCAGGAGAAGGAGAACTCGAACCGGAACCCAGTGCTTCTACCTCGACACCGTTTTAGTAAAACATTCTTAAGCATCGTCATAGCCAAGATGTTCATTACTGTTAACTGGGTTAGTTAATAGTCAACAAGTAACATATTCTCTAAAGAAACTGTTACGTCTCGCGACTCTAATGTCAAATTACCTTTTTTTGGTTGACGGGATGGAAAATCCCTTCGGATCTGCTGCTCCTCTGGGAATCAGCAGCCAGGAGTATGTGGTGATTCCACTAAAATCCACCCCGACGGCCAGTCTCAGGTGTTCTAATCTGGGAGGACCCGGACCATGTTATTTCAGGCCCTCCCCGAATTGACACTATGCCTAATCAGGCCCTATCCCAGGGGAAAACACTTCCCACCTTAATCGCGGCGTAGCGGCCCGATTGCGTCTCAATGCAATCAGGCTGCCATTCTATCCCCTACCGCAGCTATCAATGAATGATGATGGCTGTCTGGCGGCCCGCGGTCCCGTCGACGGCTGATATCGTCGCCGACGTCCTCTACGTTCGGGATCAGCCCTCTCCCGATCCCGTCAGCGGTCTCTTTCTGGAGCATTACAGCTTCATAGAAAGGGACCACTGCGCCTTATCCTTCCTCACCCGCCAGCATGGCAGCAATAAAAAATGTCAAATTACCTATGTTGGTATTCAGACACAAATGAAATTTAAGTGATTTTTTTGTGTTTAATTTGATTTTAAGGATATTTTACTTACGTTAATAGTTTTATTTTCAACATCAATTATTTAAGACATCCTTAAAGTACCTCTTAATAAAGATCTCGTTGTTGACAAACTGTAATTAACCACATGTTTGAAAGTATTTTTGTTCCTATTAGAAGTTCATTAAACATCAAACTCTCCAGGTATTACTGCACTCCACTGTTATTTCTCACTAATCTCAATAAATATATGTTATAAAAATAACACACTTATAATAAAATTAGACTAAAATAAGTCTCGGAAGTTGAAAAAACATTATTGATAAAATTTGAAAACAAAGAATAGTACATTACATTTAAAATTAAATGCCAGTTGCTACCATGAGTACCTACTGTAGTAAGAAAATGTTTAAGTTCTCTGCTCTTCCATGTCTAAAACTAATGAAATGAAATGAATTATGTTAGGTATCAAGAATAAATTCTTGAATTAAGATTGAAGGATAATGACACGTTAAAAAATAAACTTTGATATCATTAGCAGTATTACAATTTTAATGATTATTGTGTTATTTGAGAAAGAATAATGGCGTAGTAAGTAATCAGTAATCACTGAACTAGAATAACAAATCTCGTAATCTCTACATAGTATAAGGTGAAGTCACTTCCCATTCCTGTACGTTAAGATCTTTCAAACTACTGAGAGAGTGATTCAAGAGGAAGGTTTATAAGTATTATATACCTGCATATTAAATTAGAGAAATTCCGAATTTCAGTTCACCCGTGTAAAGCAGGGCCGGGCCGCTCGCTAGTTATTGAATAAACGTAGTTGTTTAGTAGTGAATTTGAAACAATGTAATACGAGATCTATTTATACAAGTCGAGAAATAGTAAGCAACAACTTCATTGTTGTGCTTTTGCTGTCAAAACAATCGCAGAAGACGATTCATTACTTTACATTACTTACCTGCATTACGACGTAAACATTATGATACGATAATCTCATGACAATGATACTGACGATAACAAAGTTTACGATTTCCTGCCACGAAATGTGCAATACTACAATTTAAATGAGTCTTGAGAAAAATAACATTTATAGAAGTTGTAATTAAAGTTATGTTTTTGTTGTGATATAAGATTTTATTATTAGTTATGTGTATTTTATTTTTATTTTTAGTACTAATATAGCGTTGGTATTTACAACCTGTGATATGCAGAGTTGACAAATAGCGCAGTCGATAATTTGAATAATTGTTAGTAAATTATTATGCACTAAATGATTTTGAAAATAATCATCTGATTCGCGCTTTTGCAATTTGAATTCAATAGTTAGTATTTACGCGAACTTTGATTATTACTTATAAAGGTTCAGAATTGACAGATTTTATATTAAAACTTTCAATTATAATAGTTGTTAAATATCGATTAAATGTAGTTAATGAAATGTGCACACACAAACTATGCATTAATTATTATCTGAGATAGCTCGTGCCCCATCGCATCCATTTTGTATTTTAACGGAACTGATTTTTTACCGTGATGGGATATGCTAAGGCGTTCTTTAAATTGTAATTTTATTTTAACTAAAAATAATTATTTTATTAGATATGTCAGGTTGGTGGTAGAATATACACTGTAATATGACTCGAAAATATATCCAGAGATCCATAATATTCATTTTAACCTATTATTGTATTCATCATCATCATCATCAACAGCCTTTATTAGTCCACTGCTGGACATAGGCCTCTCCTTAGAAAGGAGGTATTGTATTGCTTGGCATTATTTAAATAAATTTTTATCTAGATATAGAGAATAAATTTTTATCTAGATAATTGTATCAAAACTTATTTGTAATCAGATTATTTAAATAAGTTACATAAGATTGAATTATTCCTGATTTTATTCGTTATCACAAAAAGTTGATAACAATGTGAGAACGACGTGTCTTTATGCGTTACAGTAACAAAATATTCAGTTTTTAAATATTTCATAATATCTAAATAAATCCGCGAGTTTATAATGATTCATTCTACAAAGTTATGACAAATGACAAAAACGAATAACAAGATTATTTCATCACCCGATTGTTTTTTTTAATTAAACTAAATGTTATTTTTGAATATAGAATAAAACGGTTTATTTTTTATCTATCTTGTTTTTTTTGACATTCTCCGTATTATTATGATTTAATACTGACCTAACTAAATTTGACCAAATTTATGCTATTGTGACTCCATTTACAGTAAGCTCTATTTAAAATGTTCAAGTATAGTTAATATTTGTAAGACACGTATTGTTGTTACCGCACTGACAATTATAAATTAGATAGTTTAGCTTATTAATAATATTAATTTTTCATGAATTTGTTTTAGTTTAAAGTTAGCACTTTAAAAATACGTAAGTTTTATATCATGCTGCATTGCAAATATATTTTGTTTATATTTTAGTGGAATTTAAGTTCAACATAAATCGAAGTTACATTAATTTTGAATTTGGAAATTAAATTTCTATAGATTATATTATATTTAATAAAATGATGATTATTAACAATGTTTGGATTCCTTATTCGTCTATGTTGTTTGATAAAAAGGATAATATAAATAATTAAATAAGGTAATGCCGAGAACATTTAAGGTAACAATTGGTTTAATAATATAATTACATTTAAATACTTGTTAAATCTTCGTGTGTTTAATACAGGTTTTAAAATTTGTGTAAAAATGTAATTAACTAGGAGAATTAATTAAGTAGGAGTTTGTTTTGCTTACTGGAAAGCGATTCATCAATATTATGCAATTTCTGTGAAATAAAAAAATTGAATGTGATCCTGGTTTATTTAAAGCCTCAAAGCTATTTGTGTACCGACACCGCTTAACTCCCATCGGTTCGGTAAAAACGCGATTAATGAACTAATTGCTTTATTCAAAGATGCTGCTGAACATAAACGTGTCACTGTTGTGGTGTGGTGTGGTGCTGATTTTAATTATGATAGCACAAAAATTTGTCGCTAATTAGTCGAAATTTGCCGCCAACTCTCAGAATTTGTCGGTCACTGATTCAAAATTTATAAGCGTTTCTAGTGTCTACCTAGATAAGCGCCTACCTACCTACCTACCTAGATAAGAGATAACCTCCCCAGCTTAGCCACGTTTATATCTCAAAAACTTGAGCACCTAACGAAGATCTGTTTTCACTAGACTTGCAACGAATAGTATATTCGGCAGTATACCGAATACCGAATATTCGGCGAGGCCCCTGACCGAATAGCCGAATATTAGGCAAAAGTTAGATATTAGCGCCAAAAACTTGTACAGACGTGAATTAAATTATGTACCTGTTTTATGTACCAATGACTACTTAATAAATGATTATAAAAGAAATGAGAACCTTACCCTTCTAAATTTTGATTATCACAATAATTCAAATACATAGAATCCTCCATTTTTCCTATTCAGAAGATGATTATGTACCTGTGTTATGCACCAATGACTACTTAAATGATTATAACAGAAATGAAAATATGAATATATACGTAATCAATCGATTTTAATTTTTCATTTTACTAATTATTTCTCAATGACAAAATATATTATTTAAGTATTCGGTATTCGGCCGAATAATATGTAGATATTCGGTATTCGGCCGAATATAATAAAAGCAGCCGAATAGGCCGAATACCGAATAGTAACCGAATATTCGTTGCAAGTCTAGTTTTCACCTAAATTTAGTCGCTAATTAGTGATAACTTGCCGCCAAATATCAGAATTTGTCGGTCACTGATTCAAAAGTCATAAGCGTTTTTAAGTGGCCGCCCTAGGGAGAATCTTCTCAGGTCGGCCACGCTTAGGTATATATTAGGTCTTTACCTATGAAATTGCCGTTTTGTATGCAATAGTTGGTAGGTGCAAGGTCTGGTGAGTATGGCGGATGAGGGAGAGCGTCCAACCCAGCTCTTGCAGCTTGGAGACTGTCTGTTGCGCAGTATGGGGTCGCGCGTTGTCGTGAAGGAGCAGTGGGGACGACCGATTGACCAAAGCTGGTTGCAGATGTGACCACCAGACCTTGCACCTACCGACTACTACTTTTTCCAAAATTTAGACAACTTTTTAGTGGGTAAAAAATTCAATTCCCGAGAGGCAGTACAAAATGCCTTTGGAGAGTTTGTTGCCTCCCGTCCAGCTGATTTTTACAAGGAGGGCATCAATAAACTGCCAATGCGTTGGCAAAGATGCGTCGATTGCATGGGTGATTACTTCGAATAACAGAAATAAAAAAGTTTGAAAAAATAAGTACTTTCACTTATTGCATACAAAACGGCAATTTCATAGGTAAAGACCTATTATATCAAAAACTAGGTCAC